GATCTGGTGCCAGGCCTGCAGTCCTGTGCAGAAGTAGAGTGAGTTTGGAGCAAAGAGATGGGGCACGCGGATGCTGGCTGGCGTGCCTCTTATTGCCCGTTCAGGGGGTCTTAGGTGGCAGCCTCGTTGCTTGTTTATGTGATGGGCGCCAGCTGAGCACGTTAGGTATCCTTTCCCCGGGACACGTGCTCGGGCAGCGGTCTCGCCGCGTTCGGTTTCCGCCGGGGATCCACCGGAGTCGCCGCCGGCCGGCGTGCGTCCTGCGCCGACCGTCAATCTCCGCCGGCAACTAAGCCCCGCAGGCACCCGTGCTCCGCCGATGCCGACGTCGGCCACCAGCCGATGCTCCCCTGGTGCAGCTTGGGTGCAGCACCCATTCCGCCCTCGCGGTGCTCACTGCGAGACCGGTTTGGCATTGTGGACACGGCAATGCATCGAAAAGCGCATTCTATTGATCAGTCGCTTGGCCTCCAGAGCCTCGATTCGAAAAATGATGTACAGCAATGGGGCGGTGCATACGGCATACCGCCGTCGGATGGCCCGCGCGTAGAAAGCGCCGCAGGCGTCGCATGCAGGCCCTGTGGGGCCAGGACGGGTGGCTGCAGCGCGCCACAAGACGAGAGCGCCAGCGCACCCCATCTGAATGGCGTCACTCGCCTCCCATCCCATCACTGCCGATCGCTCTGTCCGTGGCGCCAGAGGCCCTGGTCGAAAGCCCCCGCGCGCTCCAACCGATCCTCGAGGAGCTCGACGCGGGCTGCGAGCGCTTTTGTGCCGGAGGCCTGCTCCAGCAAGCGTGCCTCAAGCGCCGCGATCCGTGTCAGCAGCCTGTCCCCACCCGCGGGGTTTCCAGTGCTGTGCTCCGCACCGAAGACCCGATGCCCCTCAAATTGCTGCCCGCCGGCATGGGCTGGGGTCCAGGAGCATGCGCCGTCCAGACACCTGCTGAGGGGTCAGTGGGGATCAAGCTGGCTCCTGCCGGCCACGCGGCAGTGCTTCTCAAAGACGGACCTCGTCTTGGGGGTGAGTCGCTTTGCCCCGCGCCAGGAATCGATGAAGCACGGTGCTCTGGTTTCAAGTGGGAGTCTGGGGAGTCGGCGAAGTGCGCTGTCTTTCGCGGGCGCTTGCGTGGCCGCTCGCCGTCCAGTGCCATATCCGAGGACGGCCCGTCATCGCTGGATCCTGTGAACGGCTCGCTCTCCTCACTGTCGGACGACGCCCTCCACAATGCATTGGCTACCGAAGGGCGTCAGGGTCATCGCGTACACCCCAGCAAAGTGCTCTTACCTTGGGCTACAGTGGTCGCTTTCGCAAGGTCGATCTTTGGAGCTCGCTGGAGCCGATCCGTGCTTTGACAAGCATGTGAGGCAGGTCGCCTTGATGTCCAACGGGTAGAACTCGCACGGCGTCTGGAAGGCCTGGCATGCGGCGCAGCGCATGTCAATGCCGCGGCCGGGATGCTAAGGCGTTAGGGTGATTTAGCATTCAGCAGACTGGGCACAAACAGAGAAGCAGCTGACGTAAGGCATCTGGCCCCTGGGGTACCTCTTGTGCAGATCGCTAGGGTGCCGGGGAATGCCATACTCAGGAGGCACCACGTGCGTGTCCTTCTTGCGGGGGAGTCGTTTGCCGTCGCCTGCGGTGCGTGGGACGGAAAGAGATGGAGAGGGTCCAAAGGGCGCACCTGGGGGCGGAAAGCCGTCTCCTTCGTGGCACGGTGGCCCGGCACTGGTGGAAGCCCCTGCAGTGGCGGTTTCTTCCAGCGTTTGAGGAGGAGGAAGAGACGCCCGCGCGAGGGAGGATCGGCGCGCTGCCGGGATCAGATGGGTATTTTGTTTTCCTGTGGAAAAGGGAGACGGGGTTTGGTCTTCACTGAAGCTCAGCATAAGCCCCTGCTGGTGAAGCGCTGCTCACCTTCGGGCTTCTTGGGACCCCCCTCTGCCTCTTCCCCCTGGGCCCCGTAGCGGCAAGTTGGGCCGCCTTGCCTTCTCCAATGCCCCAGGGCCAAGATGAGAAAGGTCTCCCGAGAGCAGCCCTGGGCACATACCTTTCCTGTCGGCAACCCGTTCATCACTACTGCCATCGCCGGAGCTCCCGCTTTCAGAGCCGGAGGCGGCGCTGTCGGAGCCACTGATGCTTTGGGACCTCGACGGCACGGCAATGCCATCGTGGGCCTCACCCAGTAAAACCGCCATGACTGTCGCAGACTAAGACACAAAGGGGCGCAGAACAGAGGAGGGTCTACGCACCGGCTTGGGCCCATTCCAAGTCAATCTGATTCAACGGGAGAATGGCGTCCCCATCGTCCTTGCAAACCAAACCCATTACCATGGCGGCATCGCTGGGCGATAGATTGTCGGGGGAGAAGCGTTCGATGTTGAAGGCTGAGGAAACATAGCCGTGGCGTTGCTGGGACCTGCCATATTCAATAAAAGCACCGAGGGCCCAGGACGGAAGGGTGGTGATTCCGGCGTCGTGGCCTCCAATGGCATCCGCAAGTTCCTCCGTTGCCCTGAATAAACATTGCTCGAACCGCTGGCGCACCTCAGAAGGAGCCTTTTGTCTGCTTGGGCGATGCTCGCAGAGATGGTGAATGGCGGATGCCACCTGTTGCACGCGAGATCTGAATTCTGGGCCAGCTTTCATTGAAAAGGCAGTGTGCGAGCTGTGGAGATTGAGTGAGGGATCGGGGTGAGAGAGAAAGAGAAAGAGAGCGCATGGGCCGCCTACTCTAGGCCACACACAGCTCCAGTCACCGTTGCCCTCGTAAGGGCACAGGCGCGTGCGGGCCGTGCCCACCCGCGTCCAACCATCGCTCGCCAGCGAAAGGAGCCACCCACGCGCTACCCCCTCCTCCTCCCTCGCGCGATCTCCCAACGACTTTAGGCGCTCCATTATAATTCATTCGGCTCATCACAGTTCTTCTAAAGGTGCGCCTGATGACGCTTCCCCAGATTTGGTACTGATGCCCACCAGTCGGACATGGACGCCGAACCTCGCCATGGTGAGTGAGCAGACCCCAGCGCCGCCTCGGCAAGAGCATGGCTGACGCGCTTTTACACCCAGCTCCCAGAAGCACACTGCGATGGGCACTTGAGAGCCCTGATAGGTCGGATTGGGACACAAGTGCGGCGTATGAAGCCCCGCGGTCCGCCATGGGCACCTTTTTTCCCAACCCCGCCCCCACTGTGGCGGAGCTCGTGCGCTGGCTGCCCACCCACTCGCCTCCGGAGGGGTTTACGGGGGCCCAGGGCGAAGTGGTGTTCTCTAGTGAACAAAGAACGGCCCCGGCGGAGCTTATTCTGTGGGTTTTCGAACTCGACCATCGCGGTGTCTCCCTCCCCTGTGAACGGGCCCTCCTTGAATTGCCGTTCTCGGCCCAATCGGTCATACACCCCGCAGCCCCACACCTTCGTTACCCCCCTTGGGCAATTCTCGTATGGCGCATTTACCAACAGGCGTGGCTCCATCAGCGAGCTTGGGCGAGGGTTTTTCGGTGGGCAGCCGCTGCTGCGGATGCAGAGAACTGGCCCGACGGCGACCTTCGCTGTCTGCTCACAAAGATCGACGGCCTGCCCGCTTTCCACCTTGAGCTCACCCTGCATGCTGCCACAATCCTACCTCAAGGCCTTCTTTCGGATGGCGCCTTCGAAGACTACCTAGGCTGCCTTCAGCCGCTGATTCGCCGATCGCCCATTTCCGACCAGACGGTGCTCGCCGACACCTCCTTTGCCGCGATGGTGGACGGGCCTGAGGAAAGCCTCGCCATAGCGACGGTTCTGGGAGCATTATCCGAACCACAACAAGGACTCATTCTGGTGCCATGGGCCAGTGCCATCAAGGGCCGCTGGGCCGCCGTCCGTTTCCATATCCCCAGCTCCCGGTACACGGTCGTCGATCCGCATGCTGGTTCCGAACAGCTGAGTCCAGAGATGGAAGCCTTCGTTCATCGCACGGGGCGGGCAATCGACAACCACTTGGGCCGGTGTAGCATTCGATGGGCCCAGGAGGAATCGGCGATGGCGACGCACCTCCCGTCTGGCACGATGGAGTCCTGCGCTGTGGTCTACAACTCCCTCGAGCGGCTGATCTGCCCCAGCGTCGTCCCGTGGGATGCTGCGAAAGCGGGATGGCACCGCGGAAAAATGTTCATGGCTCTGGTTGGCCTCTGGGAAACGGTGAGCAGGCGCCGTTTTCTTGACAAACCCGACGCTGACCCGGATGCAGAACGGGCGCCCGCTGCGATGGCCTGGCCGATGCCCACCGTGTGACATCACGACAGAGCTTCGCAGATTCGACGACCCATTTACAGAGCACAGCGCCAAAAGCGACATCCTCACACCAAGCAGTGCAATCGCTTCCGAACGCAGTGCTCGGCCTTGCGATCCTCGAGATGCCCAGCAGCCTTCAACCGGCAGTAGCCAACCAGGCCGCCGAACACCACCGCCTGCCCTCCAGTCACGCCCTGCATTGCCCACCTCCCTTCCCGCGCACTCACCCGCACTTCCGTTGCCCAGCAGCTCAAACGCGGAGCTAGTTTGGGCGATCCCTCAGCCACAGCACCCAGGGCCTGCTTCACGTGCTGGCCTCTTCGGTCCTGGCGGCGCAGACGGCTTGGGCCCACTGGGAGCGGGCACTGGAGTCACTGCTTTTGCCAGGGGCCACACGGCTGTGGAGGCCGCCTCTGTGGCGGAACAAGAAACGGGGCAAGTGGGCCACGTGCGCCCCTATGGCCTCGGCGCATCGCCGTTCTGGCCCAGCGCAGACACATCTGCAGGCCCTGGGCTATGGCACGGCGGAATCGCAAACGGGGCAAGCCGCGGGGGCACAAGCCGGCCCCTCCTTTTCGCAGATGACACCTCTGGGGCCTCTACGGCTGCGGGCAATGCTGGCCTGCTGGGGCCGGCAGCAATGAGCCATTTGCTGCCCGACCTCTCAGCGCTGCTCAAGACGCGCCCCGCCGGATGGCAGCTCCGAACGCAAACCCCCGTGCATTCCCGGTCGCCTGAGGTGCTCCGCGCGGAGGGCAGAGGTCCCCCACAGCAGGCCATTGGGACCGTGGGCGAGGAGGCGCCAAATCAAGACCATCCGAAAGGCCCCGCAGGCCCCAGCGGGCCTGTCCTGCACGCTGCTCCATCGGCCAAGAGACGACGCGAAGAAGACAGCGACCCGGGGGCAAGCGGTCGTGAGGCCCGCCCGCCCGCGTCGAAGAAGCCACATGGCGATGCGCATAGCGCGATGACACTGCCCCCAAGGCAGTCAAGCGAGCCATCCTCCGCAAGCCAGCTGGGAGGCAACCAAATGGCGGGCGCCCGTTCGATCGAGAGGGCGGACAGCAGCGATGGCGATGTCGCCTCCGGTGAGCGCAGCCTTCGGCCTGCATTCTCCTCCGTCCTGACCAGTTGACAGTCTTTCTGATGCGACACCTGGGCGGTGTGAGGACGAAGGTGCTTCTCGCCCGAAGCAGACTGGAGCGGGCCGTGGATAGTGGCGACTGTGGCGTCGTGGAGCAATGCGATCTGCTGCTCGAGCAGGCCTTGGCTGGCCTCAAAGTCGCGAAGGCCTGGGGCCACGATGCCCCGTAGCGGCGCCCTTCCGTAGCATGCGTGCTTCGGAGCCCCTTGCCGTTATTAGATGCCATAGTATAAGCTGCTTTCATGCCGCCCTTGAAGCTTTGCTCTCGCTGGGCTCTGGGCATTGCGTGTGCGCCGGTGGAGCTGATCCCCGGCGGCAGTTGATCTCCGGCGGCGGCCGTTGTCCGGCAGCAAAAACGCAGGCCGCCAGGCGCCTCTCTGCAGGGCGCCCGACGCCTCGCCCATCCTCAGCACACCATTTGCCTCCCCATGGAGAAGAGGCGGTCAGTCTCCCATTAGATCCCATCATTGCTACGAAAGGACTGCCAGATCGCACGCCAGGCATTGGCGGCGGGAACAGAAGAGCGTATTCGATACATACACGACGACAGCTCAGGCTGCTCAGGACGCATGCGCCCACTTCCTCCAAGTGATGCGCAGTTGACGAGGTGGAAATGTTTTCCTGCATTGTGGCAACTGGCTCGACAAACCCGAAGAGCAAACGGACGGGGGCCGCTCCGAGCTGCAGTTAGCGCGCTCGAGAGCGAGCACAACCACAGCATTCGTGAGGGGCCCCCATATGTCCTCAGCGTCTGCATTGGCGCTCGCCGAGATGAATTTGCACTGCCCGCGAAGGTGCGTTCATTGGCATCCCGCTCACAACCATGTGTGGCTCATGAGTCCCCAGCTTTGCTCCCGCCGCGAACGTGACCGGCCCCGGAATTTAATCGCGCCAAACGCAAAGGGCGCCACGGCGCTGCTCGTGGAAAGGCCGGGCCGGATACGCTCGTCGTCGTTGGCAAAAAAAGGAGCCGTCATGGGCCACAGACGTGGGTGATCACGGACGATGTGGTCCGTGCTGGTATCCCTGTGGCATGCAGACGCCCTTGCATGCGCCGTGGGACCTGCGCGGAGACCACTGAATCGCGGAGAAGGATGCCGGGGCAGAAGCGTGACGGGTGCGGTATGCTTGCTGCCTGAGGGGGCATGGGGCCTGAGGCTGGGCGGCAGGTTTGACAGAGCCTATTGTCGGCATTCAGAAGGCACAGGTAATACCGAACCTTCACTACCGGGCGCCAATATGCCCCTTATCTGTCGATAAGGGGGTGTATTAGAGGCCCACGCCATCATCTATTCCCCCACTGCCATGTGTTTCCTGAAGACAGCAAAAGGTATATACTACGTTGAGCTTGTGTCCCGCGTAGTAGAGGTCGCTGTTGCTTTCCTTGCCGAGATGATCACCGCTGACCGCTTGAAACGTAGATATCGGACGTTGCCCCGACAATATACTTGGAATGCCCGGTGAACGGCTGCGAATCGGTAGAGGTCGACTTAGACCCATACGATGTGGCAAGTAATGCCGACGCTCCAAAGCTGTATGTGCGCTGATAATATGCGTCTAGGCATTGGTCTTTCCGCGTCCGAATTTTGGCCAAATGGTCCGGATCCGCGGATTCGTTGAGCAGGACAACGCGTTTGAGTGCAAAGAGCTCATAACGGCACAAGAGGCGACGTGCACCGACGGTATGATCTTATCGGCTTAATATCTATGTTCGCTGACCAGGCCTGATAGAGACCACGCCTCGTATGGCCCTCTTCCGGAACGGGCCTTGGCAGCTGGAGGAGAAGCAAGTCAGATTACGGGATAGGAATGCGCATCGTAAACCTTTGCATCGGAAGGTTTAAATGAAAAAATTGTTCCCGGTGTGTGCGATTGCCGGAGCACCGGGCATGCCGAAGCCTATTAAAGTGCTAAAGGCGGAGTTTCCGGCACAGAACTCACTGCCGGATGTGTGCAATCGCTATTGCCGATGCGGATGCGTCTATGCAGCTAAATACAGCGCATAATCTGCTGAAGAGGTCTGGGATGCGCCAGACGCACGGCGCGGAGCATCTCTGCGCTTTGCCTCAAAAGATGTGTTGGCATGCGGCGGTGTGCAGGGCAAAAGAGAATTGCTGATGGGACCCCAGGCGGCGTGGCGACAAAGGCGCAGGCTTCTGCCCGAAGCAGAGTGGCGGATCGATGGATGGCGGCGAATGTAGCGCTGTCTGGCCATCGGATGCTCTGTTTAAGGAGGCCTTGGCCGGCCTCAAAGCCGTGAAGCCGTGGAGGTGCGGCGGCCCATGATAGCGGCCTCCCGTCCCAGGCACACTCTGAGTGTCTTTCCCGCCGTCAGCAGCTATAGGACGTGCGGCTTTTGTATTGCTTTTAACAGCTTTCCCAGTTTCAGGGCCACGAATTCCGGCTGCCGTCAGCCCCTCCGTCCGCATTGGGCGCCCTATAAAGCCGATCTCCGGAGGCTGTTGATCCCCGCGGCAGTCGATCCCCGGCAGCATGCGATGCATGGCCTCTTTTTGCCCCCTTTGCATGAAGCCATATCACTGCCACGCCCGGTGAACCCCCTTCGCTTCGCTCTCTTCAAGACACTCGGACAGACCTCGAGCCGCGCGGGCGATTCAATGCGATGTACACCCCGTGCGCCACACCCGGGTGGATCCTGCGGATTTCCTCGGCCACCGGCGTCTTCAAGGGCGTCGGCTCTCTCGGCCTATCACGGGCTCCAGGGGGCGCCTGGGAGCCACGGTGTGATCAGGGCTTCCAGGAGGTCAGGGATTCCGCTTCACGCGTTCCTGTGCCCAGGCCGGCCGGTTCAGTCAGGAATCACGACAGCGCCGGCAGGCAGGGACGGTGATGCGGAATATATGAATGCCTTCATTGCCAACACACCGCCATACAGATTGCACGCCGATGCCTATTTCACCGCTGTAGCATACAAACCTCACTCAAATTGGGGACGAAGCCGTGCATGGTGCTAGCAGCGTTGCCTGAGAAGGAGAGAGAGACGAGTGTGGCGACGGGCGCGGAAGCAGCCATCTCGTCTAAGTTTGCGCGCAGTGAGGGCAGCATGGCGACGCAGGGTCGCAGGCGCGCTGCTCGGGCGTTCAGGACGCGGGCCACGAACGGCGCGAGGGGGTATGCGCGGAGCGCCACGACAAGGGCGACACGAACGGCGTCCGATGCACACGTCCCCGAGGCTAAATCCGAAGTGTGCGCGTATGGTCCATGAGCTCAGGGGCGAAGGAGGAGCGCGAACACGACGCACCCAGATGAGCAAGTGCACGACGAAGCGCAAATCGTGGTCGCGGGCAGGCGGTCGTCCGAGATCTGTGGAGAACCGCGTGGGCATGGCACACAAGCGCGCACGCGCTCGGACAGGCGGACGCACCCGAGGAGGGCTTGCTGCAGGCGCGGGAGGCCTTCGGAGGTTGGCCAGCGCTGCGTCGCAGTCAGTGGCTGGCAAGGCACGGGAGACGAACCTCGAGCACCAGCATGCCCGACGCGGCTGCCGCGAAGTGGTTGTTCCACAGGAAGCGCCTCGCCCCTTGCCCTGCTCGATGCCCGCGCTGCTGGTACCCAATCAGTGCCCTCCAGGCCAGAGACTTTCGGGATGGGGTGGGGACTCAAAAGGTCCCGGGCAGGGCCTGCATCGAGCCGCGCTCTTCCTGCGACACGCCTTTGTAGCGCAGCATGGAGCACGCGTGGACGACGAGGACGTCCCCGTGGCCGAACAACGCGCCCTGTGCCTGTGAACGTGCGAGGAGGCCCACGAGCGGGGTGAGGTCCGTCGTGAACGGATCTTACGGGAGCCTGCCGAGCCTGTCGGCGTGAAGCTTGAACGCGTCGAGCAGCACGCCTCAGCCGCAGATCCCGTGCTGGGCCTAATCTACAGCGAGCGGGTGCACGATCAGTGCATGGGCCACGATGTAGATGAGGAGCGAGGAGATGGAGCGGAAGAGAGGACGCACTGTGGATCCCGTACTTGGCCAGCTCTGCGCTGACGTCGTCGGGGCCATGGATGCTGAGAGCGCCGTCTTTGAAGAGGGAGCGGTCGACACGCTCAATGATGCCAAACTGTTTTATCCCGTCTGACCACTGCGTGCCGGATTGGGCAGATAGAACGTAGACACAGACACACCATTCTCATGCGTGGCCTCCAACTTGAGCGCCGCGATGTCCACTCCTATCGCATTGCACGCCATGCCCGTGAGGCCTGCCGTGAGCGCATTCCGCTGCCTGCTGTCAGTGGCAAGCTTGGGTGAGAACGTCGTGCGTTTCAAAGAGCGGGACGGCAAAGCTCGACGGAGCAGTCGAACCCTCATGGAGTTCTCCATCGACGCCCTTGGCAGCCGGGGCGACACGGGGAGAACGGCGCAATGCCACGTGTGCAGAGGCCCATCAGGATTCTCAGAGGAGGACTGGATGTGGGCATTCATGGCACTCACCTCAGCGTTCAGACCCCACCCATCGCCCGAATCCCTCGCCCTAACACTTGCAAAGGCAATTGGCCCATTGGTGGCGCTATCAATCGTCTTCATGGGGCGTGTCGAGGGCGCAGATGGGAGGAGGAGACAGGCGGCCCATATTTGGCGCCCGCGGCATCGCGATAGCGCGCAGCGTGGGCAGGCCCACCGCGTGACCGCGAGCCCGCCATGGAATGGCGCTATGGCTTCGAGGAACGCTCCCTCCGTCTCTTTCTCAACGCAAGGCGGGCACAATCCATCAGCGCGGTGCCCGCAGCCGGGCTCGAAGAACAGGTTGAGGTGCTCCAGGACCGTAGACGGGAGCGCAGCTGACAGTTTCGACTGTGTGGCGCGCCGAAGCATAGCAAACGAGGCTGGTGATGAGCGAGGCCTGTGAGAAAACCGGAAGCACGTATACTGACCCTGTAACTGACGGATCGCCCGCCGCCCTGCCTTTATATTCTCGCGTCTGCTTCCCCGTCTCGCCACGCGATTGCCTCCTGGCTCCTGGCTCCTCCCCGTCGCCTCTCCTGCCCGCACTCCCCGCTACCGCGAGCCTCTCCGAGGTCAAGCGCGTCCTCTAATCCGATCCCGCCTTTCTGCTCGTCTCCGACTCGCCCAACCTCCGCGCTCCGCGACCGTAACAATGTGTACACGATTGCAATTCTAGAATAAACAGTCCTCACATTGTCCCACGCAGATTGCGACATCGCGGCCGCATGTGAGGAAGTCCTCAGTGTGAGCAACAGCAGCTGGAGTAATACGCAGTAGGCCTCAGTACGGCGCGCTCGAGAAGAGTGCAAGACTATATAATCCGTGCCTGTAGCAATGCGCAATACTGCACCATTTTGAATTATTCGAACGTCATGCGTCACAAGCCCTCCGAAAGTTCGAAATATCTGGGGTCAGTCACGCATCACAAGCCCACAGTTCGAAATCGCTGGATGGGCGCTTCCCGGCATACGCATTAATTCGTTTCGTATGCCCGGAGCATTTTCGGCCTTCTGGGCGTGCTCTGTGCTAACCCGTGGCATAGATGAGTGCTTTTTTTCTCTAATGATGGTGCACCCAGCGTGTTAAAGACAGTCTGGTTCGAATATTTCAGGGTGGTCACGCCAGCCCGGCCCCCAGTTCGAATCCACCTGGCGTACTTGGGCTGTCACGCACCAAGGCCCGGTTCGAATAATTCGAAACGGTACAGTGGAATACAGCACAGAACGAGCAAAGTGGGATGAAAGTGAGTAAAGAAGTGCGCGTTCACCCTCAGCACGGCACGCTCACCTGTGGTCACCACGGCTGTATTACAATGCCCCAGGTACATGGGAATAAGCTTTTGCTATTCCTGAGGGCGTTGTTATTGTAATAAACGTGGTGAGGTCTTTAACAATAACAACGCAAGGGGGTCTTGTAATAACTGGTGCTGAGGCTGTTAAAACTGACGTGGGGTTGTTAAAACTGGCGTAGGGTTATTAAAACTGACGTGGGGTTGTTAAAAAGGGTGCAGGGTTGTTAAAATCGACGTGGGGCTGTAAAAAAAGGATGCAGGGCTGTTAAAATCGACGTGGGGCTGTTAAAACCGACGTAGGGCTGTCAAAAAGGGTGCTGGGTTGTTAAAACTGATGTGGGGCTGTTAAAACCGACGTGGGGCTGTAAAAATCGACGTGGGGCTGTAAAAAAGGGTGCAGGGTTGTTAAAATCGACGTGGGGCTGTTAAAACCGACGTGGGGCTGTAAAAAAGGGTGCAGGGTTGTTAAAACCGACGTGGGGCTGTTAAAACCGACGTGGGGCTGTTAAAACCGACGTGGGGCTGTTAAAACCGACGCTGGGTTGTTAAAATCGACGTGGGGCTGTAAAAAAGGGTGCAGGGCTGTTAAAACTGACGTAGGGTTGTTAAAACTGACGTGGGGTTGTTAAAATCGACGTGGGGCTGTAAAAAAAGAATGCAGGGCTGTTAAAACCAACGTGGGGGTATTACAAAACGTGCCAGCTTGTTAAAAGTGACGTGGAGATATTACAGAATGTGCCAGCCTGTAATAACTGACGTAGAAGTATTACAGAACATGCTAGGCTGTAATAACTAACACCAGGGTCCCACTGGGACCTACCTAGCTATAAATAGCCTGGTTCAGGTACTGCTACAGATGGGCATTCTGGCAGGTATAGTGGGCTGGAATTGGGGATAAACGGTTAGCTAGAGATGAGTATGGCTAAACGGATACGTTTGGGCTGGTATAAGCAGCTGGAATTGGGAGCAGTAGCTAGTATTTACCAGTAAATGGGCAGCCTGGGGTGCAGCACAGGGTGGGGAAATCGTCAGGCACTAGTTACTTATCAAAAGAGGCATCTAATAGCTTTCTAACAAATCCAAGATCATGTTGATTGGAGCAGTATTGGTGGAGATACAGATGTACCCCCGTTTTGGCCGATAGGAGCATCTGCTAGAATCAGAACTGGTGGATGGAATCCCCTGGTTCTTGTTGTATACCGTGTGGATTGCCTTCCAATGAGTGGGGTCGAAATCCGATCGGAGAAAAACCCCTTCATTACGGAATAGATTGCTGATTACGCTTCAGCCACAGCGCTTTTGATCTCTCAATAGCCACTTCCCATATGCTCCGATAAGTGTTCTTTTTTTTGCAGTCTTTTCCTCTACTCTACGGAAAAGTGTTCTAGGTGTCATTTTAACAAGAACAGCCCTCTGTACCTTCCTGTGCAGCTGTGCACACTTGCAGACCTTTGCCTCACCCATCCATAACCGCTCCATTTATCAATCTGGTTCTTGTTGTATTGTTTGACCATTGTGGTATACTTTATGTTCCTAGTATAAAAACATTATCGGTCTTTGTTTAGGCTATATCCATCCTTATCTCTCCTCCATGCATTGCCCCCATCAGCACATGAATCCATCTCCGATCAATGTACACTACGTAGATCTGATAAGAGCTTGAACACACCTATCCAACGCAGGTACAATCACGAAGATCGGTGAAGAACTCAGGAAGTAACAGTGTCTACAGCTGAAACAGGGCTCATTTTGCTCTACAGCCATGCCCCTCACTCTACACAAATGTGAAATAGGGCACACACACACATATACCTATGGCAATAACACATGGAACATGTTTCAGGATGATATTGAATATGACTTAGCACCTCTGCCACATGTGGGGGCAAGTGTACCATTCCTTGCAGGGTTGAGTGGGTGTTATGTGAAGAGGTTTCATCCCACACTTTGTAGCCCAGTGGTGCATTCTGGGCTCCAATGGAACATCTTCACCAATTCTGGGCCGATTCACATGGTTCTTTCTGCATCTTGTAGCTGTGTTCGAGGCGAGTTCTGATCAACTTCACAAGAGACTATCAGAGTATCACATATAATTGGATCGGGGGAGCAAGTGGGGGGACAGATAGGGGCATTACACTATCAAACATGTTCTGATAAGTATGATCCTTACATATCTTAGGGCCCTTGAGCAGTGCCAATTCGACACAGAAGACACCATGGTGATATAATGGGTAGTTATGGAGGGGTGAGGCAAAGGTCTGCAAGTGTGCACAGCTGCACAGGAAGGTACAGAGGGCTGTTCTTGTTAAAATGACACCTAGAACACTTTTCCGTAGAGTAGAGGAAAAGACTGCAAAAAAAAGAACACTTATCGGAGCATATGGGAAGTGGCTATTGAGAGATCAAAAGCGCTGTGGCTGAAGCGTAATCAGCAATCTATTCCGTAATGAAGGGGTTTTTCTCCGATCGGATTTCGACCCCACTCATTGGAAGGCAATCCACACGGTATACAACAAGAACCAGGGGATTCCATCCACCAGTTCTGATTCTAGCAGATGCTCCTATCGGCCAAAACGGGGGTACATCTGTATCTCCACCAATACTGCTCCAATCAACATGATCTTGGATTTGTTAGAAAGCTATTAGATGCCTCTTTTGATAAGTAACTAGTGCCTGACGATTTCCCCACCCTGTGCTGCACCCCAGGCTGCCCATTTACTGGTAAATACTAGCTACTGCTCCCAATTCCAGCTGCTTATACCAGCCCAAACGTATCCGTTTAGCCATACTCATCTCTAGCTAACCGTTTATCCCCAATTCCAGCCCACTATACCTGCCAGAATGCCCATCTGTAGCAGTACCTGAACCAGGCTATTTATAGCTAGGTAGGTCCCAGTGGGACCCTGGTGTTAGTTATTACAGCCTAGCATGTTCTGTAATACTTCTACGTCAGTTATTACAGGCTGGCACATTCTGTAATATCTCCACGTCACTTTTAACAAGCTGGCACGTTTTGTAATACCCCCACGTTGGTTTTAACAGCCCTGCATTCTTTTTTTACAGCCCCACGTCGATTTTAACAACCCCACGTCAGTTTTAACAACCCTACGTCAGTTTTAACAGCCCTGCACCCTTTTTTACAGCCCCACGTCGATTTTAACAACCCAGCGTCGGTTTTAACAGCCCCACGTCGGTTTTAACAGCCCCACGTCGGTTTTAACAGCCCCACGTCGGTTTTAACAACCCAGCACCCTTTTTGACAGCCCTACGTCGGTTTTAACAGCCCCACGTCGATTTTAACAACCCTGCATTCTTTTTTTACAGCCCCACGTCGATTTTAACAACCCCACGTCAGTTTTAACAACCCTACGTCAGTTTTAACAGCCCTGCACCCTTTTTACAGCCCCACGTCGATTTTAACAACCCAGCGTCGGTTTTAACAGCCCCACGTCGGTTTTAACAGCCCCACGTCGATTTTAACAACCCTGCACCCTTTTTTACAGCCCCACGTCGATTTTAACAGCCCCACGTCGATTTTAACAGCCCCACGTCGGTTTTAACAACCCAGCACCCTTTTTGACAGCCCTGCACCCTTTTTTACAGCCCCACGTCGATTTTAACAACCCTGCACCCTTTTTTACAGCCCCACGTCGATTTTAACAACCCTGCACCCTTTTTTACAGCCCCACGTCAGTTTTAACAACCCTACGCCAGTTTTAACAACCCCACGTTGCTTTTAACAGCCTCAGCACCAGTTATTACAAGACCCCCTTGCGTTGTTATTGTTAAAGACCTCACCACGTTTATTACAATAACAACGCCCTCAGGAATAGCAAAAGCTTATTCCCATGTACCTGGGGCATTGTAATACAGCCGTGGTGACCACAGGTGGCACGCTCGAGAAGAGCGCAAGACTGAGGGCAGCGCTGCGCGGGCGGGATGGTGTAAGTGACGAACGCGACTGACGGCTGCGGACTGGCGCGCGTGTATTTCAGCAGGAACGAGAGAACGCGAGGCAGGAAGAAAAGTAATAGTGTCGTAGGATAGACCGTGGCAGAGCGAAAGTCCGGGCGGCATCGAGATAAACATGGGCGCACATCGCGCGCACCACGCGGTGCGGGATCAGTGTGCCGCGAGCGTGGACGGCCAACGTCCGGCGACGTGCCGCTTGCGGGGCGCAGGTTGTGCTCCAGCACTCAGCGTGAGTGTTAGCACAGGCGCATCAATGGGTGCCCCCCCGTTGGATAAGCTCGCGCAAGCGGTTGCCTTCTTCACGCCCGATCTCGACCGCCGTCCGCCTTGTCCCAACGCTGTCAACCCGCCACCACCGCTCAACGCGCATTGGTCCATACTTCGCATCCTCCTCCCAGTCCTTCCGGTGCGTGAAGTCGGCCGCTCCAGCTCGGGGCCAAGACATCGCAATGGCGCGCAGCGTGGGCAGGCTCGTCGCGAACTCCTCAGGGAATGAGGCCACGGCCTCGAGGAATTTCCTCTCTCTCTCGGGACACCCCTCTCCCCATCCCACGGGATGCCCGCAGCCCGCCAAAAAGAAGAGATTGAGGTGCTCCAGCGCTGTCGACCGGAGTGCATCCAGCAGTGCCGACTGTGTGAGGCGTTGTGCGCAACAAAAGCATAGTCAGTGAGCCTGGTGAGAAGGGAGGGGTGCAGGAAAACTGGACTGACCTTGTAGATGACAGGCTTGCACTTTCCCTCTGTGACGGTGATCTCCAGGGAGCGCAGGCGCGGATTTCCCTGCAACAGGAAGGCCCACATCTGCCTCGCGTCGTCCGAATTGCCCGCCAGCGTCGGCGCACTCCACCGCGCCGGCTCCGGGTCGTTCAAGACGCCCGCCGTGAAAACCCCCAGGGCGATAGGCCGGGTGGTGCGTACAAGGGGGGCGAGGAGCCGAGCGTCGTTCGTTTTGACGAGCGGGAAGCAAACCTCGCCCAGGGATACCAAGGGGACTTCTCCCAGGCGCTTGGCGCTTTCTGCAGGAACGCCGATGCAGCCTGAGATGCGGAATTCCGCAAGGTGGAGGGGACCTAGGGAGCCATGCGTTGGCATAACCAGCGCCGCAGGAGGGCCACACCACTGCAGCTGAAGACGGCACGCTTTGACGTTGGCGCAGGCGTCAACGAGAACGGCGGCGATGCTGGGGAGGCAGCGGAGGGAAAGCTCCCTGACGGACGGGATAGTTACTGAGGGGTATGGACCAGGGATGGCCGGCCCCGCCTCGTCGGATCTAAAGCGGAGAGTGCGCAGTCTCGGGGTGCAGGAGAGGGCGGTGACGAGAGCGGCGACGTCGATGGTGATGCCACGAAACCAGGAGTCGGTGATCTCGAAGCAGAGGGAGGTGAGGTTTGGGGCGGCCAGGACCATCGGGAGTTGCTGGACGGCCCACGGCCCCGTTCCAAGGAAGACCACCTGCTCGAGGCGGCCCATGGCGCCCAGTGGGACCAAGCCGCACTGCGGACTCTGAAAATGTCCGAGGTCGTCGAAGTAAAGGCGTTCGAGGCGTTCTGTCGCAGCAAAGAGGCGACTTATGTGGGCGAGGTCGGGGTCGGTGAGTCCACAAAGTTTGAGGCGGCGAACGTATCGACCGCGGCGGAGCTCGAGGAGGGGGCCGCTTGTCGATAGGACTTCGGACAAGGCCAGCACTTGGAGGCCGGTGGAAGGGGGCTTCTCGGGGATGTCGACGGTCAGCGATCTAAACGCATCGGGGACGTGCAAGAAATAAAGCCTTTTCGCTGTGTGGGACAGCGAGAAGGCATTTTGCCCATCCAAGAGCGCGAAGACCATGCACAGGAGCTCGTTGGGAAGGGAGAGGAGGCTGAGCATGTCTGAATGAAGGCCGTGTTCTGGGAGGGAGTCGTCGCAATAAAGCCGCTGCGGCAGGGGGGAGACGGGTGGGTTGGTGGAGGGGCGTGGTGGTGGGGCCGTTTATGCATCCGTCCCCTGGTTAGGCCACGTCGAGTGAAGAGTGCGGCTGAGCCGTCAGCGGTGTTCCTTTCTTTGCGCAGTCACGGCCAGAACAAAGGGGCCTTGCGGTGGGCAGGCTCTCGGGTAGCGAGGCATGCGGAGCTTGGCCCCCGGCGGGGATCGATTGCCGACCGGATGGGCGCTGCCACCCGGAGCCCGTCGGAATTCAACCCCCGGCGGGGCTCGATTAGCGACCGGACCGGGGCCGCCTGCTGGCATGCCGTGGGCGTAATCCGACCTCCGCCGGGGATGGCATATCGATGCCCATGGGCTTGCCGCCCACACGCGTGGCTCGAGCGGCGTTCCCCCATTCCCACTGTGGCTGAGACCTAGCTGAGGCGCCGCCGAGCCTGTGGCCCGGGGGCGACGTATCGCGTATCGATGGGAGCGCTTTCCGAAAGGACTGGGCTTCGCGCCCCCTGCATTGTGGCCGCGGTCCCCGCTTGCCACGCGGCGATGAGCCCGTCAAGGGGTCTTCTTTGTCTTGGTCGACGCACGCTCGCGAAAGCCGGGCCTTTGTTCGCCTTTTGCAGTGCCGTCGCGCCCTGAGCATGGTCGCCCCGGCTGGCTGGCCCTCCGCTCTCGCCTCGGCAGACTGCCGCTGCGCTGTTCTTTGAACGTCGCTCTGTGCGTAGGCCGGGGTGCCACAGACGGGCGACGGCTCTCGTGTCATAGCTGCCCATTCCACACAATCCCACGCAACGCACAGCGCGCGCGTGGGTCCCCGCCTCCCCTAGCTTGCGACTGACGCGATCTAGGCCTGTGCAGCATCGAGCAAAAGACCGACGCGCGGGTGGTTTGCCTTTCGACCGGGACGAAATGCGCCTGACAGTTCAAAAATCGGCCCATCAGCGATGCAGATGCTCAGCCGGATGAAATGCATGCTTTCTGCCAGCTTCTATCCGCATTTCCTCCCAGCAGGCGCCCTGCATTGCCCATCACGATGCGCCGTGGCAGCGCCGTTTCCCTATTCGGGCTCCGCGTATGCGTTGCTTCTTGCCGTTTGCCGGACGCCTGTGCGCCCACTCAGCCCGCCCCCCTCTGCGGCGACATCATGACCGGGGCCGCCGTCTTCAGCCCCTCTGAACGCGTCTTCAGCCCTCTAAAACCTTCTGAAGCCTGTGCGTTCTCACTGGGCTTCAACCACGCAACGCCCACGCATTGCCCACGTCTTTTCTCACCGCACCGCCACGTCGTTTGCGTCGCCCCCGCGTCCTCTATCTTGTCCCGCCACTGCCATGCGCCAAAGAACCGATAGGGGCGACGTCGGTTTGTGAATGCCTTTCCTCTCCATGCAGCACGCACGCCTTCTCCGAGCAGCGTGCATTCTGGGCTGTCGGGCAGCCCATGGGAAAGCGGCATCCATGTTATGGCCTGCTTCGCCGCCTGTCTGGTTACGAGCTTCGGCGCGCACCCACTACGGATGCCCAGCAAACGATCGCCCACCACCCTGCCTTTATGTACTGCTCCCACACCTACCGTCACGCTGCGCGATCGCCTCCTGGCTCCTCCCCGTCGCCTATCCTTCCCGTCTCCCCGCTACCGCGAGCCTCTCCGAGGTCAAGCGCGTCCTCTAATCCGATCCCGCCTTTCCGCTCGTCTCCGACTCGCCCGACCTCCGCGCTCCCGCGCTCCGCGACCGTAACAATCCATTGTTTGGTGAATGCTATGGCCTGCTCCGCCTATCCGTTTACGAGCGTCGTCGCGCACCCGCAACGGACCTCTTAGCATGCGATCGCTGCAGCCACTAATTAGTGTGCATGGTTCATACGCCTACCTCCGCATCCCTTCGGCACGCGATTGCCTCAGCCTCCCTCGTCATCCCCCGCATTTCCTTCCCTCCCGCTCTGCGAGCCATTCTTACACGCTTACGCCACCCGTACCCACCTAATCGACACCCTCTCCCGCGCACGTGCACCTACCCTTGTCCGCGCCCGCTCGACCTCGCCCGCGCTCCCGCGCGACCCCAACAGTGAACAGCGAACTGCATCAGGAAAACCCCAAAATGCGAATTAGCACTAACAGCGTGAAATTAGTCCTAATGACTCGTCTAATCGGGCTAACAGAATTGGGGGATCTAGTCACAACTAATGCATGATAGTTGGGTACTAGCAGTGCAGTCAATCATCTATTCTCAATAATTCTAGCAGCTCTCTCACTAATTGGCGTAATTCACTGGTATCTGATCTCCCATGTCACTAATTTGAACGTCACACAGATATATTGCAGCTAATTAGAGTAACATTGAAAGGACAACATAGGGGGCCATATGGACGACACTGTAGGTGTAACACACGAGCAGAACGGGCAACACGGGTGAGGTGGGCAATGTGGGGGCGACAGGGGCGGGGTGATGCAAACAGGGGATGGAGTGGGTGACGCGGACACGGGCGACACGAGCCGGGCGAGGGCAAAGTGGATGACGCGCGGGCAATGAGACGTGAACAACGCGCGGGCGAGACGACGAGACGAGGGTGAACGCAAGCGTGGTGAGCGACATGCGGGCAGACAAGGGCGACGTGGTGACGCGAGGGCGAGACGGACGACGCAGGGTGAGATGTGGACGATGTGGGGACGACACAGACGTTGATGCAGGGCAGCGCAGGAGACACGGGCGACGTGGCGACGACACGTGGGCAACGCGGGTGTGGTGGGTGAGGAGAGCGACACGGGGGCGAACGCGGACAACGCGGGGGCGACGAGAGCGCAGTGGGTGATGGGTGAGGCAGATGAAGTTGGCGATACAGGCGACGCAAGGGCGAGACAAGGGCGACGTGGGCTAGAGCAAGACGGGAAAAAGGAGGTGGGTGACTCCTGCGGCGAACGAGACAGAGACGGAATGAATACTCACCGAGAAAGACGGGCTGAGCGTCAGGCTGAACGTCGGCGTCGCGGGCGGGAGCTTGCTTCCCGCTTATGCCGGTGCGACAGCGCTTGAATACGCGTATCCTGTGAGTCCTCAGTCCTGGCTCGTAATCGACGGGATGAATATTGATAGGGGAGGTCTGTGCGTCGTGCCGTCGGTGACGCGGATGCGCAGGTGACGCGGGCGAGGGGGGCGAGGTGGAAAAGCAGGTGAGAGGGCGAGGCGAACAAGGTGGGTGACGTGGGCGACACGGGAGATGCGGGCGCCGTAGGCAAGGTCGAGATGGGCGAGGTGAGTGATGCGGGCAAGGGCGAGACGGGCGAGACGGGCGAGAGCGAGACGGGCAAGACAAGGAGCGGGAGGCAAGGACGATGAGGGCGACGTGCCAGGCGCCAAACGCTGGAGTCCACGCGACGCGCGTCGATTCCCACGCGTCTGGAGCTGCCAGCACGTCCTTCCCTCCGTCCTCTCCACAGCTGGAACCTCGTCCTCCCCGTCCTCCACATCCAGGCCCCCTTTGTCCCCCAGGCCGTATTCTGCGCCCTTCGCCTCAACCTCCTGACCTCACAATGCGCGAGGACGTCTGTGGCTAGGCCCTGTTTCGGTGAGTCCCCCTCCATCTGCCTGTGCTTCCTGCCTTGCCCACCACCTCCCCAGGCCCCGCCCGAACCATCAACCCCGTCCCCACAACAAGCACGTCCCAACAGACATGCTCGGGATGCTCGTCCACCAATGTGGCCGTGGTGTGCCGGCATTGCCACCCGCCCGCCGCAACGCCGCTCGCCCACGCTTTCTCCGTGTGCAACCCTCGTGCACGGTCTCCTCATCTCGAGTAGGCCACGAAGGAGACGGAGGCCTGCGCCACGGCGGTCACGCGTGTGAAGGCTCACATCCTCGGACGACAGGGTGTATGTGGAGGAGGGCATGCCCTCAGCACTCGGAGGTAAGCATTTCGTGTCGCCTGCCTTGAGCTCGCTGGCTCACGCGCACTCTCGCCCATGTCGCCTGCCTCGTCCCCGTCACCCACTTTGCCCGCGTTGCGCATGTCTCTCCCACGCCGGCCACATCTCCCACGTCGCGCACGTTGCGCGTCTCATCCACCACGCCCACCTTGCCTACTTCACCCGCGTCTTCCCCGTCTCAAGCCCACATCACCTACCTCGCCAGCCTCGCACCGCGTCACCCATTCCATACGCGTCTCGCGCCCGCGTTGCCACGTCGCCTGCGTTTACCTGTGGGTCGCCTACGTCTCGCCCCTGCGTCAACGTCTACGTCAACGACCCCGCCCGCCCTGCGTTGACCTCTGCCTGCGTCAATGTCTGCGTCTCTCACGTCTCGCCCTGCGTTGCTCAACGCCTCGCCCGTATCGCTGTAGCATAGCATGTGTACCTTTACGTTCAAATAGATTTGATTGAACTCTCCAACTGTGTGACTACCCGTGTGCTTATTGTCTCTAAAGTCCGTCTAATTGCGTGTCTAAGGGTGATAATCACCCCTAACGTCTGCCCAATGTGTGTCTAATTCCCCACCACATGCCCAAATACCTGGAGTAACGCATGGCTAATTGTCGAGCTATTCTGTCTAAAGGTTCGAATTCGCAGGGGACCGATCTAATTAGACACTAATCGATAATCCGCACTAATGGCTGATAATCAACTAAATTAGTGCCATTAGTGCGAATTCGCACTTTGGGGTTTTCCTGATGTGGCGGAAGGGTATGGATGCAGCCCAGTGTGAGGGTCTGCATACGCATGAGCAGCGGGAGGCGCGGCCATACGTATGAGCGGTGCGAGGCGCGGGAGCACATATGAGGACGGGAGCGAGGGCGCACATATGAGCGGTGCGAGGCGCGGGAGCACATATGAGGACGGGAGCGAGGGCGTACGTATGAGCGGTGCGAGGCGCGGGAGCACATATGAGGACGGGAGCGAGGGAACACATATGAGCGGTGCGAGGCGCGGGAGCACATATGAGGACGGGAGCGAGGGCGCACATATGAGCGGTGCGAGGCGCGGGAGCACATATGAGGACGGGAGCGAGGGCGCACATATGAGCGGTGCGAGGCGCGGGAACACATATGAGCAGCGGGAGACGGGGTGCGCTGGTAAACGCAGGCGTGGCGGTGCTACATACGACCAGCAGTAGCAGCAACAGAGCGCCCGCTCATATGAGCTTATCCGAACGCCAGTAGCGGGGTATTTGGTCATTGATATGAACGCCAGTGGCGGGGTATTCTGTCGGCATGCGCTGCCTGCGCACCCTCTCTCCCATCCGTTTCTCGCGCTCACCCACCACACCTTCTTCGCTCGGTTCACTGTTGGTTTTTGCACTTGGTACAGGCTGTCGTCACGATCCTACCCACCCGCGGCTGAGTCGCTCTGCTCCGCGCCCGCGGAGCTGTATTCTATAGCGTAGACGACTTATGCCCACTGCGCTCGCGTCCATCTTCAGCTTCTCCACCCATTCCGCGCGAGGGAAGAGAGGCACTCCGAGGCGAGTGGCACGCGTGAGCCGCGGACGGGGTCGATGTATGAAACGCGTGAGTGACGGATCCAGGTGCCCTGCAGGCTGCGCGTACTATGTCGCCATTGCGCAGAACGCCACCGTGTGCTACTGTTATTGTTGACACCCCTCTTATTCGTCAGAGCCTGCCCGCCACCCGCGTCACGCTCCCCACCCCGACCACCCCCAGCTCCCCCCTCCACATCTCCAGGTCCAATGGCGGTTCGCCAACGAAAACAAGCTCCGCCAGCGGCTTCCCGCGCTCGCGCAGCGCATTCACCAACTCGACCAGATGGCCGTCCACGCGGTGTTCGTACGTGTTCGCGATCGACAACCGCGTGAGCTTGGGGACGCATCGGAGAACCCCCGCCCACTCTGCCCGCTCCGTGATGAACGAAACGATGCGGCCGTCGAGCTCGAGGGTGGAGGGACCGTCGGGGCAGGGTATGGTGTCGACGAACCGCTCCAGGGCTTCAAGGACAAAGCTGTGGGACGCGGTGGTCACCCACCAACTTGCAAGGTCGACGATGAAGCGGTGCGTCTCGCCCGCGGTCCAGCCTTCGAAGTCGAAAGAGCTCCTATTGGCGGCGACGCGCAGCCCGACGAGCGAGGGGAGGAAGGGGATCGATTCTGCGAGCGTGTCGGGAAGATAGTCGAATATGTACTCGCCGTGGCAGTCGAAATGGACGACTTGGGCGCGGGGCAGGCGGAGGCGCTCGAGAACCCAGGCGGTGTCTGACTGTTCTTCGATGTACTCCTTGAACTCGAGAATGCGGAGGTGGGCCATGGTGACCGGCTCTGTGAGCCCGACGCGCGCGTACCACGTGTCGTTCAACCAGTCCGGGCGGTCTTCATGATCATGGTACATATCGACGCGGAACTCTTCGAGCTGCGGTGCGGTATGGAGGAGCCCTAGGACGTGCATCGGCAAGAGGCGCAACCCAAAGGTCAGCGAGATGCGCTTCAGTCGCGCAAAGACCGCTGGACGCGGTACCTGCCAGTGCGCGTTGAACGAGATCGTCGTGAGAGCGGGGGTGTTGTACTGCTCGAATGTGACCGGGGGAGTGGGCGGGTCGTGAGGGCCTGACTCGAAGATGAGTGTCGTCAAAGCGGTAAACGTCGTCGATAGGAAGAACGAGTCGTTGAGAGCAACGCGATCGTCCGTGGTGAGGGCATATATGGCGAGGGACCGGAGATGGGGTGCGTGGGGGAGGATTCCAACGAGAAAAGACGATGTGCCTTGGTGATTGAGCCGGAGGATGACATCAATGGGAACTCCATCCGTGTGGGAAAGACAGAGCATCAACCACTCCCGCGCATGGGCCCGCCCCCATGCGATGACGGTACTCCAGAGATGCTTCTGGGAGACGATAGTTTCGTTCCAGTGACGGGAAACGAGGCGTAGGGAGAGCCATCTATGGAAGCCAGGTGGGAGTTCCGCTCTGAAGCCGCGAAACCTAGCGAATAGCTGGCTAAACGACGACTTGAAGCCTGGCTTCTGAATGGTCCATCGCAATATCAAGCTGAAGAGCTCTTGTGGGATTTTTCCGATGGGAGCGCGTGCGTCCAGTTGTGCATCGGAGTGCATACAGATGATAAGGTAGAGAGAAACATGCGCAGGCGCCGGACTGGCATCGGCACATGGCCTGGAAGATCGATTGGTCAGCTTGTCTCTCCGCTCGGCCACGTCCCATTCCTCGACCTCGCGCCCACCACACCTTTTTTGCTCCCCTCGCTGTTGTTCTTGCATCTGAGCGGACGGATCATTCGCTATGCGGCGGAAACGTAGCTGAGGATTTCGAGCAAGTCTTCTTGCAAGCCCCGGGTCGCGGGACTCTGATCAGAAACCGGGGCCTTGGTGGACACTGGAAACTCCATAAAAGAGGGGGTACATGAGAGGGCGAGACGTCACGGATGTACGAATTCTCTGCGATGAACGGAATTTGTGAGTCGCGCTGCTGCAGATTGCCACGCGAGTCAACAACTTCGAGATAAGATAGTAAAGGTGAACTGATCTAACGTCAGCCATTGGGCGCTTATATTGTGTCTTCCCGGTCCTCCATCACGCTGACTTGACACAAACATGACCTCGCTACTAAACGGACCCAACAAGAGAAGAAAAGCACGTTTTGTTCCTCTCGTTGCCGAGGGTGGGCCTCAGTGTCCGCCGGGCGAAGCCTGTTCTGTAGTTCCTGATGTATAGCTCCGGATCGCAATTCCACTGACTCCGCCTGTACACCACAGAACCGTTTGACCCTCGATGAGTGTCGGGACATACTGTCGAGCGAGAGCCATTTCGGCTACGATCTCTGGATGCTTCTAATTCTGGATGTCTACATGGCACCTGAAGCTTGAAGCTTGACCATCACTTTGTTCCCGCGGCAGGCATCTCGTCCCTGCGACCCTCCACGCGTTTTCTCCCGTTCCGCCTACGACTCCGGGCTACACATCGACCGAAATCTCTTCCTAAACTTCCCTCCATGGACTCCCTGCGTCTTTTCCCTCCACCTCCTCGTACATCGTCTTGATCGACACGTCCGCAGCGTGCTCCGCAAGCGCCGCCGCGTGCGCTCCCCGCCACACCGTCCGGAACTCGTCCAGCTCCTCCATCCGCGGCGCCGCGACGTACGACAGCTTCGCGACCGGAGCCCCGCGCTCTGCCCGCGCGCGAAGTATCACCCTGAGCGCGTCGACGCAGATGTCGAGCCGGGGCGGGGGCGGGTCGTTACGGTACCCCGCCGCCCAGTGCCACGGGTCCCACCCGCCGTTGTAGTCGCGGAGGGAGAGGGTGCGCAGGGCGGGACACGGCACCGCGTCGCGCGCAGGGCCGCCGGGGTCGAGCGCGGCCCACAGCGGCGCGAGCGAGCCGTGCGCTTCGACGCGGAGCTCGGCGAGGAGAGGGAGCGCGCCCAGGAGCGCGCGCCAGTGGTCGGCGGTGAGGACGACGCACTCGGCGTGGATGGTGAGGCTAGTTGTGGCCGGGAAGTCGGACGCGACGTCCGTGAGGTCGCGGAGCTGGAAGAGGGGGGCGACGGTCACGCCGTAGATCGCGCGCATGCCGGGGGTCTCTGTGTCGTAACCGATCTCTACCGCGTGCGTTTTTCCTGGACTGCTTGCCGCAAACTCGCATTTGTGGCTTCGTATAGTAAGAGCGAGATCTGTGAGAAGCGGTAGGAACGGGAGCACGTCGGTGCGGCGCCGAGGGAGGATGTCTCCGATGCCTGCAGGGCTGCCGGTGAGCTCCTCGCGGCCTTGGGCGTCGACCCTACCATCCGTGATGTAGTGGAGCCTTACATCCGTCGCACGGGGAAGGCGTAGATAGGATAGAAACCTGGTGAGTGACGAGATGCTGCCTGGTGAGATGTTGAGTTGTGTGAGCGACGGCAGGGTGACGGGGCTATGGGGGAAAGCGTCGGAGCTAAAGCATGAGAGGTCGAGAGACCTCAATCGCTTCATCGTGCACAGTGCCCCCATGAATTCCGGCAAGAAATCAATCCTCCAGGAGAGCAGAAGCGTGAGCGTTTCCATATATTCAAAGAAGCGTGGATCCGCGATGTATTTGATGTCCACCCGCAGTGCCTCGAGGAAGGGGACATTTGCCTTGCTAAGAAGGAGGTGCGGAGCCTCCCCCGGTTCCTGATCCGCATACGTTCCCCGATCTACCCACAACCGAATGCTCTTCAAACTGGAAAATACACCCGAAGAAAGAAACGTATTCAGGTCCGGCAGGCGTCCCCTGGGGAGGTAATCCAATCTGACCGACCGGATGTCGGAAGCGTGTTCGAGAAGGGGTGTCAGGCCCAGATACGGGATGTTCTCGAAGTCGATGCTGATGCTGATGGCAGCACTGCGGGCACGATCCAGGGATAGCTTGAGCCACCTCTCGCCGTTTTCTCCATGCACCTGGATCGTGCTCCAGAGCGACTTCGTTTTGAGGATGGTGTCCCGCCATGCTCTGGACACGAGCAGGAGACGCAGCCATTCGGTGGACGGTTTATGGTAGGGGTCCGGTGGGTCCGAAAGACGGATAACGCATTGGAAGATCTCGGTAAAGATTTCGATGGGACAGCGGGCCATGGCACGAGGGGAGATAGGTTCATTCTTGATGTTGAGCTCCATCTGCCAAACGATATTGGGTAAGTAAAAATGTAGAACAACAGACCCACACCAACCTCACGAAAGAATCTTTCAACCGTGGGCGGAGAATATGCGAGAGTGTGTGTGTGTGCGCGATTCAGTCACCCCCTCTACCTATGAAGGGTACTCGGAGAGCGCCTAATCATCCGATAACGGATGAGTCAGTGCCAGCCACGCCCACACAGGGACCATCCTCTGTATCGAACAGACTCACATTCTACATATGTACACAACTAGCAGCCCGCTCTACGTGTATCTCTAGGCAGCCACCCTCCCTGCACCCCCATGCTTCCCATTCCCCCTCATAAACACATCCTACCAATCAGCCGCCCTGTTAGCATTCCGACGTCCCAAAATTCGTTGCCCACGAACGCACCTTGACGATCCCCCGCGCGATCACCCGGAGCGCGGCGCGGCTCTCGTACAGCGGGTAGACAACCACGGCGAGCGCCGAGCAGAACGCCCAGATCATGCCAATCACGACCCACGCAGTGAGCCCACGCACACCGTAGACGGTCTGCGCAAAGAACAGCGGAAGCGGGATGATGATGAGCATTACTAGCGTCTGCGCAGGCGTGAGCGAGGGCCTAAAAAGAGCGCAGAGGAGCGTACCAGGACGACGGAAGACCACGCGGCGAAGCGGAACGACTTGCGCAGGGCTACAGGGTCGAGCTCGGACTCGTCGGCTGGGGAGACGGAGACGGGGGCAGGCTCGACGGATGCTTCGGCGGTATGATCGCGCTTTTCCCCTTTTTCGTCCTCGGTGTCAATCGAGGGCGGACGGACCGCGGACGGCCGGTTGATAGCGCGAGTAGCCTCAAAGTCAAAGTTTTCGGGCCACTGGCAACTCAATGAGTCGTTGTAGCGTTCGACCGTCGGATTACTTACTATGAGAGACGTCGTAATCGTCACGACACCCCCAATCCCGATGGACACGAGATTACCCGCGAGCATCTCCAAATCGCCACCAGTGGTCTACAACCGAGCAAGATAAGTAATGGGCATACAGCACAATAGAGAGGACGTACGTCGACGGTCAGAACGCCTCCGTTGAGACCCGAAGTGGTAACGAGCCAAGCGACTACCCCGGCACAGAAACCAAGGACGGCACCCGCGATGCTGCCCCACTTGTTGGCTTTGCTCCAAGTGACGCACATGGCAATGGGGACCACGGCAGATCCAAGCGCTACCCCCATAAATTCCTGATGGTGGATGCACGTCAGAACTCATGTCCGAAGACGAAGGAACAGGTGCTTACATAGAGCCATCCTAGGGATATTCCGATGTAGAAGAATATGGTACCTAGCAAGCCCATCACGATCGCGAAAACAGCAACCTGTGATAGAAATTAGCCGGGACCAAGTACGAGATCATCGGCGCACTCGCCATTGCGTGTGACACCTTCAAAATCTGTGCTTCAGACGCATTGGGGTTGAAGTATTTCTGCAACAACATGAGCAAGACTTCAACACTTCGACCGTCGAGAAGCGTACTTTGTACACGTCGTACGTCAACAGCGACGAGACGGCGATGAGCTCGGCCGATGTCGCGCTTGTGACCGCCAAAAACAGTACCACCAACAGCGCCGCCGCCCCAGACTGCCCCATGAGCGCCGCCGCCGCCGCAGACGCAGGTAGTCCGGCGGACACGTCTTCAGGGGTGAGAATGCGCATGTCCGGATCGCCACGCAGCGCGACGGCAGCAAGACCGAGGGTCGTGGAGAACATGAACGGAATGGCGAACCATGCCAGACCACCCAGAAGGTAAGCCTTGACGCAAGTTGCCGGGTAGGAGGCGATGGCTCGTTGCCAATACTGCGGCTCAATATCAGAACGTCGGACGCAGCTCGAGAAGGAACCGACACTCACAGCTTGGTCCTGGAAGACGGTAGCAAAGTTGCCGATGACGTTGATGACGCCGAAGATGAGACCGTTTTTGGAACGCATAGTGAGATACGAGCCCTGCGCGTTCCCGGCGACAGGTTGGTCAGCGGCCGCTTTCGAGAGGAGAGCGTGCATGGCGCTGAAAGAACCGATCTTCTCGCTTGTAGTATAGACTGTGAACACAAAGACGAAGATGATAGCGAACAGTACTGTCGTGTGAGTGCTGTCACCAAAATCAGCGACAAGGTTCAGATAAAGATCATTACGGGTGGACGCACTAGTCGCACAACAGCGTGGCGCGCATGCCTCCAACGACCACGTAGACCGCAACACCCAAGGGGATCAAAAAACAGGCCTGCGCATGGATCAGTGCTTCGCGTCCATATGGTTCGGACCACCAGCGTACCGCGACAGTGTTCATCCCAGTCAACGAAGTGACAGTTGCGGATCCGCCCAGGATGAGCATGGATGATACCAGGATGTTGGTGGCGAGGCCGAAGAACATGAATATGAGGTGTGCAACAGTGCCCCATCGAGCGGCGACGATTTCGAGCCATGTGTGCGCATGGGGAGCGTTTAGTTTCAACTTGGCTGCCAGCTATGTGCGCATATATCCTCCTCAGACGCGGGTTCTGAGACACGCAGGACTGAAAACGCACCTGAGCGAAGAGTAGGACCTGAACAGTGGCCCCCGCCCCATACCACCACGGCCCTGAGATACCGTCCCTGTATGCCACCGCGCTGGATTGAAGCTATATGCGCACAGGTGGGACACATGAGGCGCGCTGAAACGTGCAGACCACAACCACGCACCAAAGTCGCCGCCCATGTCCATGCAGAAACAATCCCCGACGCGATCAACCCCGGCTTCACACTCCTCGACGCGCTATTGAACTCTTCGGCGCTTTTGGGCGAGAATCCCGTGTAACGCGCTTGGATCGCGGTGAGGGTGAGCATGAACGCACTGAAGAACAGCCCAATTCCGACGACTGAGCGCTCGGTCAGACAGAGCACAAAATGAGCATAAGCTACAGCACCCACCGACGCCATATCCTGCACCCTGCGGAAGGATAGGCTCGCTTGCGGCGAGCGTGTTGTTGGTGGCCATAGACGTCGTGCGGGAAGAAGGAGCGAAGCAGATCTTCGGCGCGGAGGTTTACATACCGCTCAAGGAGCTTCTTTTCAGCCACTAGTCGACATTCTCGTAACATTCCCATGGCTGGACAGATGGAAGACGTTTTGCTTATCGCTGCGGCGGACGAGGAGGAGGAGGATAAGTCACATGTCGTTCAAGCGCGATAACCCGGCGTCTTCGTCGAGGGGAATTTACGTAAGCGATGTGAACACTTACAGACACTTACCCAGTTCAAACTCCTCGAATTGCCTGAGCGGCTCCATGACAATCCATGTGGAGGCGTTGCGCGAGCGGGCGGCAGGAAGCTGCGGTCGGTCAGGTTGATAGACGAGCTTCGACTGAGGGCGGAGGACGACGTACCCTGTTATCTTATCTCGTACTTTAGCGCCAGCTCAACGTGGCGGGCAGTCGAACGCCTGGCCCTCATTTTTTTTTTTTTTTTTGGTGGAGCGCATATGTCCCTTCTTCCCAGTGGTCCTCTTATGAGGCTTGTGATGGGTTAGAGGTGGACGCGCTGGTTACCGTCCCGTGAGGATCTCAACTCCGGGCCGGTGTTTTTCGGGGAAAGCATAGCATAGGAAGACCATAACCGTTTTTACACCGCGAGGAAATGCCTTTACGCACGTATGTGTGGGACTCCTGTAGCTCTTAACCTTGCCCTAGTCTGTCGTAAGGCGTTCTACAAATACCCACTAAAACCCCGCATTTTTCAACCCAATTGGGCGGGAGGTCTTCGTCGTCTTGGATTAGTGGCGCCCAAATGGCTTCCACCGCGTGCAGGCGCTTTGCGCGCTTTCGTCCCTCCGTAAGCGCTGCGTATCTTCTTTCCAGGTCGAGACGGCGATCCAAGGTTGCGTACCATCTGTTTCGTACTTCGATCTCGCTGAAAGGTTCGTTTTCTCTGCCTATGACTCGTTCACAGCGGAGCTTCCAGATGAGGTGTGCTGATTCTGTGGCTAGGATTGTCCAACGACGTTCGAGTGTCGTTTTTCTTGCCCCTTCATCGTCAACTATCGGTACACATGCTGCGCCTAGAACGGAGCCCCAGGTCGGGGCGATCAACGGTCCTCCTGCGTTTTGCCAGTGCTCGGTGAGTAGGTCCCATACTATTTCTCGCCCCGGTTCCTCGCAGGCAAAAAGGATATGGGTCATGTCTTCGAGAGAGTTGCAGTGCGTGCAGAAGGCTCTGTCCTGGAGGTCAGCTGGCATAGAGGCCTCTAGCCACTTGTTTCCGATCCAGTAGGCATCATGTAGGACCATCCACATCCACTGACGTGCTTCCTTTGTTATTAGGTCCTTCTTCCTGAGGGAGGTCCACAAGGTTCGCTCGTGGAGGTCGGCTCCAAAATCGGTTTTTAGGTCGCTCAGTACGTACTTCACTGTCTTTACGGTCCGAGGCCGCGGGTCGGTGGCGGCGTCTCTCCTCTGCCGGATGGCTTTATATGCTAGAGCTTGGGTCATTGCGTCCAGGCGTGCGCCTGTGACAACGAGCCTGTCCGGGACTTTGGTACTAACACGATTCCCTCTGCTCTTTTCAGCCGCTTTTCCTGCCAGCTCGTCTGCGAGTTCGTTCAGGTCATGTCCCTGGTGTCCTTTTACCCATTGGAAAGCCGTGTGTCCTCTTCTTTGTCGCAGTTCCGCGACTATCGCTTTGGAGAGTGCTGATTCTTTTTGGAGGATGTAGCCCTGATCTTCGTGTTTTTTCCTTAGAGTCGTCGCCTCCGCCATTACGGTCTTCGAGTCCGTAATCTCGAGTAGGGTGGCTTGGTTGTCTGCGTGCTTCGTCGCTGTGAGTGTCGCTACTGCTTCTGCTGCTTGGTTCGACTGCGTTATATGTTTTGGGAGGCGTAGGGCTTTATTTCGCGGGTCGTTTGGCCCATACACCACGCCTGCTCCAGCAGTTGCGTCTCGGTATCCGTTTTTCAGGCAGGATCCATCTGTCGCTACTTCTATGTAGTCGTCTGATGGGTCTATGGTCATGTCTAGCTTTTCGTTGCATGGTTCGACTCCGGGGTCAGTAAAGATCCGTAGGGTGGCTCCTACCGTGCCGTAGGTCGTCACTCTCCTGTCGAAAATCTCGAGGTGCTGATTGTTCATTTGGAATGCTGCAGTTGCGTCCGACATCGCACGCTCTTCGTAGTCCTCCGGGTGTGACTCTCGTGGGTCCCATTTAGGTGGGAGTGTGTCGAGGTAGGCCTTTGCCCGCTCGAAGCATGCATGGGGATTTAGGCAGCCTATCTCATGTCTCGTTTGTTTACAGATGTCGCAGGCGCACGAGGCTTTCCCCATGTGGTCATGCTCGTCCAGGTTAGCCGCCAGCGCTTCGAAGTCGCCTACAGATCGCGCTAGATGGAAGTTCATTAGGCAGTGGGTCGCTTGCGACCTGCTCGTGAGAGAGCGGAGTGCAGTTTGGTTGCCTTGCGCGTGGGCCTAGTGATCACCACGGGTCACCCCCGGGTATTTTTGAGTTGACCCGGACCCGGACCCGCGAAACCCGGACCCGTGAGCTCACGGGTCAGGGTACGCACGGGTCCGGCGCTTGAAACCACGGGTCAGTCACGTGTGACGCGGACGGCTGGAGTTGGCGGTCGGCGGTTACGCGCAGCGGCACGACCTCTCGCGACTTCGAACTCCCTTCCTCCTCCTACCCTGCTCTCTCCCTCTCCTTTTATTCTTTGTGATGAAGACGACGACCACAACCACGACAACCACCGCCATTACGACTGCGACCACAGGATGGGCAAAGAGCAAGTCGGAGTAGCGCGCGGCAAGCTCGACGGGACATGGAGCGGCGGACATGCGAGGTAGCGTACTTCCATCTATTCGCTCTCCTCTGCTGGCCCGTCTCTCCCCTCCTTTCATGCTCTGACCCCTTTCCTTATCCTCTCCTCCTATGGTGTTTCGCCCTTGCATCTCTCTCTGCCCAGCTCTTCCCGTGTCGTCCCTGCACGCTCCCACAGGCCCGCGTGCAATACACACAAGCCTCCTCATCCACCCACGTCGCCCACGCCGCGCTCCTCCGCCTGCGTCGCCGGCCTCCACCTCGTCCTCCGCCTCCCCTGCATCGCCCGCGTTCGCCTCGCCCACTGCCTTCTTCGCCTCATTCCAGCCCTCCGCGTCCTCCCGCGAGCCCTACCCATTGACCTCCTCCACCTCCGCGTCACCCACTGCCTCCGCCCATGTCGCCCACCTCCTTCTCCGGGTCCCAGCCCTCCGTGTTGCCCTCCGCGTTTCCCTTCTCCTCCTCCGGGTCCCCCGCATCCAGACATAAATGAAAGTGCCGACTTCGACGTTGAACCGGACGACAATGATGGTGGCCACCACTACCACCACCGCGCCCTTGAGCGAACGCGTGGCCCTGACGCTCATCACCGTTCTCACGCAGGACTGCTTCCTAAGTCTGGTCGAGTGTTTCCTCTGCTTCGGTGCGTGCCCCACTGTCTGCGCTCTTCGCCTGCGATGTCGCTGACCACAGTCTTTGTTTGAGGTCTTGAGATGGCTGAGGTGCGGTGCGCCTGGACCACAGCGTGCGCCAGGACAGTGTCGACGGGCTCATCGACGCGGTCTCGAGCAAGGACAACAAAGGGCACAACATGGACTACGCGCACTCGCACTCGGCAAGCCCGACGGACTGAGACATGGACATGGAGCGGACACGCGAGGTGATGTTCATTCCCCCGTCCGCTTGCCCGTCTCTCACCGTCATCCGTGTCCGCATCGAGGTCCTCCTGCGGTGGCACCCTCCCCACTGTCTTCTGTGGGTGCGTCGTACGTGCCTTTCCGCACCTTCACCTCCGACCAAGTCCTCGGCCGCGCCCACACATCCCTCCTCACCGTCCCCAAAGGGATCATCCTTGCCCGCAACACTCCTCTCAGCGGCCAGCCTCAACTTCATCGACCCTGCCGACCCTTCCACCGTCCCGGGCGAAGGCATGCCCATCTCCACCGACGGCACTGCGCCCCCACCGCTCCGCTCCGTCATCCGCAGCACGGCTGTCGATCCCCCCTCATCCCTCCACAACAACGAGGGGCGCCCGCCCGTGCGCGTCGTCAAGCAGATTCCACCGCGCAACCTGTGTGAGCTGGACGTCCCCGAGAACGAGCTCGTGCACGCGCGCTCACACGATGTGGCTGGTGGAAGGCGCTGTACGGGCCGTGGTTCATGCGCTGCGGTGGGTGTTGGAGCAGGTGGTACTGCTCGAACGAGGTGTGGGCGCACGCTCGTCGGCGCCTGGCGGCACGCAACACCGACCACCCTCCCCACGACCGCCCTCCGCTCCCCAGTACCCCGCTCCCCTTGACGTTGGGGAACATTTGCGGCAGCACGCCCCATTCCCCTCCCCACACCGGAACAAGCTTCACCGGCGCATCCTTGCTGCCGCGGTCTCCGCCTGGGCCCGCACCTCCAGCGCGCGCACGTTCACCACCGCCATGACGTCCGCAAGCAGGAGCACGCGCACACCGCATGCCGTCAAGGGGTCGGCCGCGGGACTTCCGGGTCCGCCTCGCACAATGTAACCCCTTCTGAAAGACTATTTATTACATGTATAGTGTGTCGTGAACTTATGGGTCGTCACGGGTCATTGGGGGTTCACCCTGCGGGTGCACGGGTCGGCCGAGCATGACCCGGACCCGGACCCGTGTGACCCGACCCGCCAACCCGCACGGGTGGCCACCACCCGTGGTGATCACTACGTGGGCCCACATTGGTAGGCTCCAGAGGATGTGTCTTGAAAAGGCGAGGCCCTCCATCCGTAGGTTGTAGTTCTCCGCGACTGTGACCAGTTCACGCAGCGCCGGTGGGAGGGCTAATAGTTTCGGCTTCCAGGCTTGTAGGAAAGGGTTGAGCCTCAGGTGGTGTTCGCGAGGGCACTGATCTAGGCTCACTTGCGATGCAAAAATGTCGTCTGCTAGGTAGGTCCACCACGGTTTTTTGGCGTTGAACGTCAAGTATTCTTTGAGCCACATAATAGCGATGGCTTCGTTCCTTGACTTGAGGTCGAGGATTTGCATGCCTCCGAATTCGAAGGGTAGGTAGGTGGTTTCTCGGTTTATCGGGGGTGTCTGCCTATCGTTCCAGAGGAAAGCTGACGTTATTTTGTTCAGGCATTTGCGTACCAGGTCTGGCATGCATTGGACGTCGGTCAAGAACTGAGTCATGCCCCCTAGGAACATTTGGACGACGTGTCTTTTCCCCTCGAGCGTTGGGTGCGATATTGTCCACCTTTCCAGTGTTTTTGCGACTTTGGCGAGGACTGGGGTCCAGACCCCTTCATCGTCCACTCCGTTTCCTATCCAGGCTCCGAGGACTCTCGTCGCCTCTCCGTCTTGGGCCATGTGGACATCACTAGGGTAGTTCTTGGGGATCTCGCCTGCTGCGTGGGCTCTCAGGAGCTCCTTCCGGTAGGTTGGGGCGCCGATTGGGATGATTTGAGTTTTCCTGATGTTGAATCTCGCTTTGGCTGCAGCGCACCATGTGTCGAGGATCCGTTGGAGATCCGCAAAATCGTCTTCCTCCGCCAGGAAGACTGTAGTATCGTCTGCGAACAAAGTCGCTTTCAGAGACTCTCTACACCTGGGTATGTCGATTCCTTTCAGCTCTGAGTTTCGGAGCATGGCTGACAGGGGTTCAATTGCGAGGTCGAAAAGGAGACAGGACAGGGGGTCGCCTTGCCTCACGCCCCTCGTGACTTGGTATGGTCGGCTCATCGCGCCGTTTATCATTACCGTTGTGTTCGCATCTTTATATAGGTCGCGGACTATGTCTATGAAGCCCTTCGGGATCCCAAAGCGTTCCAGTACCCTCCATAGGTAGTCATGCGCGACTTTATCGTAGGCTTTTTCTTGGTCTAGCGCTACAATCGTGCCATTTACTTTGTTTGCTTCCGCCCAGGTCGTGATCAGCCGCGCGAGCTGTGTGTGGTGGTGAAGGCGGCGGCCAGGTACGAAGCCTGCCTGAGCTTCGTTTATCAGGGAAGGGGCCGCTGCGGCCAGCCTCATGGTCATGGTCTTGGTGAGTAGCTTATAATCTGTGTTCAGTAGGGTTATAGGGCGGTAGTTTACAATCTCCGCCTTTTCCCCCTTCTGTTTATAGATCGGGGCCATCCAGCCGTTTGCGAAACCGGATCCCTCGGTTATCCCGTGCAGTTGGATGTCCCGGAAGGCCTCATTTATGAGCTTAACGACGTCAAAGAAAGTGTTCTGGGGGTGTCGTTTGTCCTCAACAAAACGTGCGTGTAAGGTTTTCCATACCTCGTATTGGATACTGTCGAGACCGGGTGTGCTGCCCGATTTCGCGTGTTTTAGGGCAGCCTCGATCTCACTCTTTTCGAAGGGTGCTTCCATTTGCGCTTCGTGCGTGGGTTCTACGCGCTCTGTCAGGTGGTCAAGTGCTTCGCGGATGCAGCGTTCTCGGTCATGCGGTGGTGGTAAGGCTGTTTGCGGATCGATCCACGGATGATCCGGATCCGAACCCACGGATCAGGTGACTTCCGGGAGCTTGATCCAGATCCGCATGGATCAGAGCCGCTGGAAGAGCCGGAGCCGCGGGAGCCGGAGCCACGGATTACGGCTCCACCCGTGGACAGACCCGCAAGCCATGATGATCCATGGATACCCACAGATACGGATCACCCAAATACGTAGGACACAAAAAATATATTCATGCTATGCTAAACATCATGTAGTTACAGGTGGAGAGAACACTGCGGGACAAGGGGGCAGCGGCGATGGAGAGATGAGGGGAAGACAAGAGTGCGGCGACGAGCACGCGTGGTATTTGCGGAACGGGCGGGGGACGTGTGCAAAGCGGGGCAGGCGAGGGAGGTGGATGATGCAGGGGAAAGCGGGTGAGGTGGCTGCGGGCGACGCAGCGACGCAGACGAGAGCGCGGCGGCGATGCGGTGAGGGCAAGCCAGGCGACGCAGGTGCGACACGGGCGCGGGCAAGGCGAGCGACGGCGTGGCAGAGGGCGTGGGAGGTTTGGGCGATGCGGGAGATGCGGCGACGCGGGAGATGCGAGACATCGGTGAGGCGGCGACGGGACAAGATGGGCGAAGGCGAGGTGGAGAGGTGGAGAGGTGAAGAGCGTGACATGGACGCGGGCAACGCGGACGAGCGCGAACGCGAGACGCGGACGACATGGGCAATGCGGGTGACGTCGGTGACGCGGGGTATGCGGGCGAGGTAGGTGCGGAGGACGCAGGCAAGGGGGTGAGGGCGAGGCGCGGACCACGCGCGGAAGAGGTGGATGATGCGGGCGACGTGGAGAGGGCGGGACGGGACGGGCGACGTGGTGGCGAGACGGGCGACGCGGGACACAGGTGATGCGGGGGCTAGACGGCGATGCGGGAGCAAAACAGGACGCAGGCTGGAGAGAGGCGAGCGAAGGATGATGTGGGCGAGGGACGTGGGTGACGTGGGCGGGAGGGAGACCGGGACCACGCGGGAGACGCAGGGTAGGCCGGTGAGATGGGTGGTTGCGGCGCGGGCGACACAATCGAGGGCGAGATCGGTGAGGGCGAGACGAAGCCGACGTGGATGAGGGCGACGCGACGAGGGCGACGCGGGGGCATTGCGTGGGCGAGACGGGCGAGGTGATCGAGGTGGGCGGGATGAGCGAGGACGAGGTGGATGAGGTTGACGCGGGGGTATGACGGGCAGTGGCGAAGTGTTGGTCAACAGGGCGAGGCAGTGGGCGACGTGAGCGATGCGGGCGACTCGGCAAAGCGCGCGGTGGGCGACGGTGGCGGGGCGCGGGAGACGGCGTGGGCGGGAGGGCGGTGTGAGGAAGATGCGGGAGACGAGGAGGACGCGAGAGACGCGGGGGTGGACGGAGAGGGTCGTCCTAGGGAGTGGCTCTCGGGCGCTGCCAGCGCGGGGAAGGGGGAGGCGACGCGGGGAGCAGAGGAGGCGGGAGAGCACTCACGGGGGAGATCGGGGCCACAAGGGGTCTCCGCCCCCAGGGCGCGAGCGCGATCACGCCGCGTGGACAGAGGATCGGGCGACGCGGGGCAGGCGAGGGACGTGGAGGACGTGGGCGAGTGCGAGGGTAATGCGGGCGCAACGCATGATGTGGATTCGGGAGACGCGTGGCACTGAGGACGACGCGGAGGTGGTGGTGGGCGATGAGAGGCGGATCCGGGGGATGAGGCAGAGGTCGGACGCGCGGAGAGCAGAGGAGGTGGGACTCACCAGAGAAGATCAGGGCCGCGGGAACTCACCACGACCCCATGACACAACCCCTGGGCTTGAGAATGGCCGCGCGCGAGCGTGCGATGACGCCGCATGGACGGAGGGTGGAGGGCGAGCGGAGGACGAGCAAGGATAGACTGGAGAGGAGGAGCGGCGCGCGAGACGCCGCGTTCTAATCCGAACATTGCCCAATCGGGACGGATTCCCACGGGCAGACGCCAGATGCAGGCGCCAAAAGCGCTGCAAGTGAAAGGAAGTGGTATTGTATCAATATCTCAGTCAATTCTGCACAGAATCACACACATTTTTTATCGTTAGAAAGCCGCTTCAAATGGGGTCCGAATGACATAGCTTTCGTACTATATACTGGTGTAATTCTCGAGAATCCGCCACCTGTGGTCACCACGGCTGTATTACAATGCCCCAGGTACATGGGAATAAGCTTTTGCTATTCCTGAGGGCGTTGTTATTGTAATAAACGTGGTGAGGTCTTTAACAATAACAACGCAAGGGGGTCTTGTAATAACTGGTGCAGGGTTGTTAAAATCGACGTGGGGCTGTAAAAAAAGGGTGCAGGGCTGTCAAAAAGGGTGCTGGGTTGTTAAAACCGACGTGGGGCTGTTAAAACCGACGTGGGGCTGTTAAAACCGACGTGGGGCTGTTAAAATCGACGTGGGGCTGTAAAAAAGGGTGCAGGGTTGTTAAAATCGACGTGGGGCTGTTAAAATCGACGTGGGGCTGTCAAAAAAGATGCTGGGTTGTTAAAATCGACGTGGGGCTGTAAAAAAGGGTGCAGGGCTGTTAAAACTGACGTAGGGTTGTTAAAACTGACGTGGGGTTGTTAAAATCGACGTGGGGCTGTAAAAAAAGAATGCAGGGCTGTTAAAACCAACGTGGGGGTATTACAAAACGTGCCAGCTTGTTAAAAGTGACGTGGAGATATTACAGAATGTGCCAGCCTGTAATAACTGACGTAGAAGTATTACAGAACATGCTAGGCTGTAATAACTAACACCAGGGTCCCACTGGGACCTACCTAGCTATAAATAGCCTGGTTCAGGTACTGCTACAGATGGGCATTCTGGCAGGTATAGTGGGCTGGAATTGGGGATAAATGGTTAGCTAGAGATGAGTATGGCTAAACGGATACGTTTGGGCTGGTATAAGCAGCTGGAATGGGGAGCAGTAGCTAGTATTTACCAGTAAATGGGCAGCCTGGGGTGCAGCACAGGGTGGGGAAATCGTCAGGCACTAGTTATTTATCAAAAGAGGCATCTAATAGCTTTCTAACAAATCCAAGATCATGTTGATTGGAGCAGTATTGGTGGAGATACAGATGTACCCCCGTTTTGGCCGATAGGAGCATCTGCTAGAATCAGAACTGGTGGATGGAATCCCCTGGTTCTTGTTGTATACCGTGTGGATTGCCTTCCAATGAGTGGGGTCGAAATCCGATCGGAGAAAAACCCCTTCATTACGGAATAGATTGCTGATTACGCTTCAGCCACAGCGCTTTTGATCTCTCGATAGCCACTTCCCATATGCTCCGATAAGTGTTCTTCTTTTTGCAGTCTTTTCCTCTACTCTACGGAAAAGTGTTCTAGGTGTCATTTTAACAAGAACAGCCCTCTGTACCTTCCTGTGCAGCTGTGCACACTTGCAGACCTTTGCCTCACCCCTCCATAACCGCTCCATTTATCAATCTGGTTCTTGTTGTATTGTTTGACCATTGTGGTATACTGTATGTTACTAGTATGAAAACATTATCGGTCTTTGTTTAGGCTATATCCATCCTTATCTCTCCTCCATGCATTGCCCCCCTCAGCACATGAATCCATCTCCGATAAATGTACACTGCGTAGATCTGATAAGAGCTTGAACACACCTATCCAACGCAGGTACAATCACGAAGATCGGTGAAGAACTCAGGAAGTAACAGTGTCTACAGCTGAAACAGGGCTCATTTTGCTCTACAGCCATGCCCCTCACTCTACACAAATGTGAAATAGGGCACACACACACATATACCTATGGCAATAACACATGGAACATGTTTCAGGATGATATTGAATATGACTTAGCACCTCTGCCACATGTGGGGGCAAGTGTACCATTCCTTGCAGGGTTGAGTGGGTGTTATGTGAAGAGGTTTCATCTCACACTTTGTAGCCCAGTGGTGCATTCTGGGCTCCAATGGAACATCTTCACCAATTCTGGGCTGATTCACATGGTTCTTTCTGCATCTTGTAGCTGTGTTCGAGGCGAGTTCTGATCGACTTCACAAGAGACTATCAGAGTATCACATATGATTGGATCGGGGGAGCAAGTGGGGGGACAGATAGGGGCATTACACTATCAAACATGTTCTGATAAGTATGATCATTACATATCTTAGGGCCCTTGAGCAGTGCCAATTCGACACAGAAGACACCATGGTGATATAATGGGTAGTTATGGAGGGGTGAGGCAAAGGTCTGCAAGTGTGCACAGCTGCACAGGAAGGTACAGAGGGCTGTTCTTGTTAAAATGACACCTAGAACACTTTTCCGTAGAGTAGAGGAAAAGACTGCAAAAAGAAGAACACTTATCGGAGCATATGGGAAGTGGCTATCGAGAGATCAAAAGCGCTGTGGCTGAAGCGTAATCAGCAATCTATTCCGTAATGAAGGGGTTTTTCTCCGATCGGATTTCGACCCCACTCATTGGAAGGCAATCCACACGGTATACAACAAGAACCAGGGGATTCCATCCACCAGTTCTGATTCTAGCAGATGCTCCTATCGGCCAAAACGGGGGTACATCTGTATCTCCACCAATACTGCTCCAATCAACATGATCTTGGATTTGTTAGAAAGCTATTAGATGCCTCTTTTGATAAATAACTAGTGCCTGACGATTTCCCCACCCTGTGCTGCACCCCAGGCTGCCCATTTACTGGTAAATACTAGCTACTGCTCCCCATTCCAGCTGCTTATACCAGCCCAAACGTATCCGTTTAGCCATACTCATCTCTAGCTAACCATTTATCCCCAATTCCAGCCCACTATACCTGCCAGAATGCCCATCTGTAGCAGTACCTGAACCAGGCTATTTATAGCTAGGTAGGTCCCAGTGGGACCCTGGTGTTAGTTATTACAGCCTAGCATGTTCTGTAATACTTCTACGTCAGTTATTACAGGCTGGCACATTCTGTAATATCTCCACGTCACTTTTAACAAGCTGGCACGTTTTGTAATACCCCCACGTTGGTTTTAACAGCCCTGCATTCTTTTTTTACAGCCCCACGTCGATTTTAACAACCCCACGTCAGTTTTAACAACCCTACGTCAGTTTTAACAGCCCTGCACCCTTTTTTACAGCCCCACGTCGATTTTAACAACCCAGCATCTTTTTTGACAGCCCCACGTCGATTTTAACAGCCCCACGTCGGTTTTAACAACCCAGCACCCTTTTTGACAGCCCTACGTCGGTTTTAACAGCCCCACGTCGATTTTAACAACCCTGCACCCTTTTTTACAGCCCCACGTCGATTTTAACAGCCCCACGTCGGTTTTAACAGCCCCACGTCGGTTTTAACAACCCAGCACCCTTTTTGACAGCCCTGCACCCTTTTTTTACAGCCCCACGTCGATTTTAACAACCCTGCACCCTTTTTTACAGCCCCACGTCAGTTTTAACAACCCTACGCCAGTTTTAACAACCCCACGTTGCTTTTAACAGCCTCAGCACCAGTTATTACAAGACCCCCTTGCGTTGTTATTGTTAAAGACCTCACCACGTTTATTACAATAACAACGCCCTCAGGAATAGCAAAAGCTTATTCCCATGTACCTGGGGCATTGTAATACAGCAGTGGTGACCACAGGTGAATCCGCGGATAATCCGTGGATCGAGCCGCAGATCTGCTGATTTTTAGCCCCCTTGATCCGGAGCCGCCGGGAGCCGGAGCCGGAAAGAGCTGGAGCCGCCCGGCTCATGATCCCCGGCTCACGGCTCCGGATATTCGGCTCATGACCCGCAAAGTGAGCCGGACCTGCGAACAGCCTTAGGTGGTGGGATGCCGGTCGCGTCGTCTTGGACACTCATATGGTGAGTTCGTGCAACCTCCGCCATTCGGTGGGGGCACGTCTCAAATATGGGTGGACGTGGCAGGCGTCCACCAGGGGTGTTCGAGTTGGTGGGCTCTGGTTCCCGGCGGAGCTCCGCAATGTGTTCGCGCGGTTTAGGCTCTCGATGGAGTGCTGTCCAGTACTTGGATGGGTGCTCTCCATCTATTCTGTGTTTCGCTCGGCTATAGGCCTGTCTCATTCTGTGTCGTGTGAGGCGTAGTTCGCCAATTTGCCCGAGAAGGGCAGCCACTTCCTTCTCTCGGGTTTCTTCAGTCAGGTCAGTCTTCGCTCGGACTTTCCGAAGTTCCTCTTCCAGTTCTCTGATTTCGGCGAGGATGCGTGGCACTACCTCGCGCTCCCTGTCTCGCGCGATTTTCAGTATTGCTGATTTGAAGTTCTTCAGCAGGGTTTGCGGGTTGTGGTCGTTTGTTCGCGTGGCGCGCCCTTCGCAGAGGTCATCAAGTTCGGCCTGCACCTTCAGCCCTTCCCGCTTCATTCTTGCTGCGAGCTTTTTGTCTTTTAGCAGTTTTGTTGGGAAGACAGTGCGTCCTTTCCCCCTGGTTGGTGCATGTTGCGAGGTCACAGTGACTGTTACCATACTATGGTCTGTACGGACGCCTGGGGTAATGATTTCCCATTCCCTGGCAGCGTGTTCGTGCAGGTCTGCGTTAACATAGATGCGGTCGAGGCGTGACGCGTGGATTTGGTCGTTACGGCGTGCACGATAGGTGTGTTCCTTGGCGGTGGGGTTGGTCGCTCTCCAGCCATCTGTCATTAGGAGTCCAAGCGATAGTTTGAGATCATCAAGCGCGCTCAGTGAGCTATCTGGGTTTTGTTGTGGGAAGCGGTCTATTGCATCCTCGGTGTTATTAAAATCACCAGCTATGATTACTGGCTTCGCTTGGTTTGGATGGGACTTGTAGTACTCTCGCAGCTGCGTGAAGAAGACGGTTCGCGCTTCTGGACTGTCTGCTGGCGCGTAGATGCAGAGCACCTGTCTCGGTGCTTCGTTCCCTGGCAGCGGAATGGCTAACTGGAGAGCACGGCCCGGGATTATTTCGCTGGCCTGGATGCCATCCGTGTTTAGTAGTTTCTTGTTCACGACAATAGCCACGCCTGCCGTCTTCGTTGGGTCACTATCAGGCGCGGACATGTATATTTTGACGCGGCTCCCGAAGAGTTTAGTCACCGCTATGCGGCGATCCTGTGTCAGGTGAGTTTCTTGCAGAAGCAGGACGGCAATGTTCCGCTCTTTCATTTCCCTGTACAGGGTTGACCATTTGTTTTTTTTTCGATCCCGGTATGAGGTCACCGTAAGGCTGTTTGCAGCTCCGGCTCACTTCGCGGGTAAACCCGCAATGATCCGGAGCCGTGAGCCGGGGATCATGAGCCGGGCGGCTCCAGCTCTCTCCGGCTCCGGCTCTCAGCGGCTCCGGATCAAGGGGGCTGAAAATTGGCGGATCTGCGGCTCGATCCACGGGTTATCCGCAGATTCTCGCAAAATATGTGTATTTATACTATCAAAGATATGTCATTCGAAAGCCATTTGAAGCAGCTTTCTCACGATATAACCTATGTGTGAATTAGTTCAAAAGTGACTGAGATATTTATACAATACTATTGTCTGTCATTTTGAGAGCTTTTGGCGCCTGCATCCGGCGTCTGCACGCGGGAATCCATCCCGATCGGGCAATGTTCGGAATCGAACGCGGGTTTCGCGCGTCACTTGCTCGCCGTCATCCCGCCTCCTCTCCTCACTCCTCCTCCGCTTGCCTTCCACCCTCCGTCTGCACGGCGTCATCGCGTGAGCGCGCGCGGCCGTCCTCAAGCCCAGGGGCTGTACTGTGGGGTCGCGGTGAGCTCCCGCGGCCCCGATCTCCTCTGGTGAGTTTTCCCGCGTCCTTGCTCGTCTCGCGCTCACCCCCGCGTTTCCCTTGTCCGATCCCCCACCTTTTCCCCGCCTCGCCCTCGTCCTCCGCCTCCGCCTCGTGCCGCGCCTCACCCTCTGCCTCCTCCGCCTCGCGTCATTCTCCGCCCGCGCTGCCGTTCCCCTCCTCCACCGCGTCCTATCCGCCTTGTGTCGCCCACCACCACATCCGCGTCGTCCTCAGCGCCACACGTCTCCCGTCTCGCCCGCGCCATGCGTCTCACCCGCGTCGCCCTCGCCCGCATCGCCCCTGCCCTCGCCCCGTCGCCCACGTCCCCCGCCTGCCACACGTTCCTCTGCCCACACGGCATCATCGCGCTCGCGCGCGCGGCCGTTCTGTGGGGTCGCGGTGGCTCCCCTGGCCCCAATATCCCCCGGTGAGTACTCCCCCGCCCTCTCTGCTGCCCGCATGGTCTCCCCCTTCCCCTCCCTCGCGCTGGCAACCCCCGCCGACCCGCTCCCTGGACGACCCTCGCCCCCCGTCCTTGTCCTTGTCCTCTCTGCCCAGCCTCCGCCCTCCCCACCTCGTCCTCGCCCGTGTTGCCCACCCAGTTGGCCTGCCTTGGCCGTCTCGCCCTCACCCGCTTCCCTGCGTCTCCCGCGTCGACCCCGCGTCTTCCTCGTCTCTTCTTCCTCGTCTCGTCTCCTTCGTCCGCGTTGCCTGCCCCCGCGTCTCACCCACTGCGCCTTCGTCTCGCCCCCGCGTCGCCCGCCACGCCCTCGTCCACGCAGCCCTCGTCTGGCGAACTCACCTGCACCGCCCTCGCATCGCCCTCATCCTCTCCGCATCGCCATCGCCCGCATCGCACACCTTGCCTGTGTCGCCCATCACGCCGTCGCCTGCACTCGCAGCCCCACGCATCGCGTCCTGTCCCCCATCTGCCCCTCGTCACCCGATCCTCCATCCACACGGCATCATCGCGCTCCCGCGCGGCCGTTCTGTGGGATAGCGGTGAGCTCCCGCGGTTCCGATCTCCCTAGGTCAGCACTCCCCTACCCCTTTGCTCCCTGCATCCCCCAACCTCCGCTGACCCCCTCCCTCGCCCTTACCCTCGCCCTTGCCCACGTTGCTCGCCACCTCGCCCCGTCACCCTCTACGCCCTCTTGCCTCCGCATCTCCCGCGTCGCCCACCCACGGCGTCTGCGTCGTCCACGCCTCCGCCCTCTCGCGTCGCCCGCGCCACACCCCTTGCCCCCCGCGTCAACCGCGTCTCGCCCTCACCCGTACCCCCTCGTCTGCGTCGCCCGTCTACCATTCCCGCATTGTCCATGACACCCACCTGCCCGCGCGTCGCCGCCCTTGCCCGCACGCCTCGCGCCCGCATCGCCAGCATTTCCCACGTCACCCACTACCTCACCCGTGGCACACTTCGCCCGTGTCACTCACACTCACCTCGCCTTCCTACTCCAGTGTCGCCCACGTCACCAGCCTGCCCCACGTCTCCCGCGCGGTCCCCACAACTCCCGCGTTCTCTGCGTCGCCGACCACAGCCTCGTCCCACCTCATCCATGTCGCCCGCCCCGCGCCTTGCGCCCACGTCACCCCCGTCATCCCCCACGCCCGCGTCATCTTCCACGCCCTCGCCTTGCACACACGTCGCGCCCACGTCACGGTCCACCACGTCCCCCGCGTCTCGCCTCTCTCGTCCACATCGCCCATCCCCCACGCATCCCCCACGTCCCCCACCGCGCCTTCGCCTTGTCCCCACCTAGCCTGTATTGATAGTACATTAGCTTAAACATACTATCAATATATCTTTTGAAAGCTACATTACATGTGTGGATCTGTGGGTGGATCCACGGATGAGCCGGAGTCGGAGCCGCGGCTCCGCTCTTCCAGCGGCTCTGATCCATGCGGATCTGGATCAAGCCCCCGGAAGTCACCTGATCCGTGGGTTCGGATCCGGATCATCCGTGGATCGAGCCGCAAACAGCCTTACGACGAGTTGTACGTCACCGCGGATGGGAACTTCAGGCACCACACTCGGAACAAGGCGACGGACCACGAGGACTACAGCCTCTATGGAGACGCGGGATTCTTCGCTTCAGAACAGGGGTTGGAGGCGCATCTGAAGAAAGTGGGCAAGACGGACAAGGAAGTGCGTAGGCTGAGCGATCTGGGTGCGAAGCCATTCTGACCGCCCACATAGCCGTCGGATTGTCACACCTTCAAGGCGAGCGGATACAAGGGTCACTCAGGGCCAGTCACCGGGCTTGTCGCCGTCGTGTGTCGTCACGGCTTGGTAGTGGGCGGGAGCGTCGTCAATCTGGAAAAGGGCGAAAGGTGCGAGAAGCGTATCTGTAATGGGCAACGGTCCCTCAGGAGAAACACAGGTTCGCGATGGTGGACTACTCCATCATGTCGGCGGGGGGTCAGTTCAAGGACCTGAGGAAGTGGAAGCTGTGGTACGACGTCGGCTGCCAGTTCAGCATCAAGCTCGACGCACGCATCGAAGCCATGAAGATGTATGCATCCCAGATAACCCCAATCAAGTGGCTGTCGGAGCGCATCAGGCCGACGGTCATCGAGGTCGCCATTGGAGACTTCCACATACGCGCGCACAAGACGGAGTGCCATGTTTGTTACAACGGAAACCTGCGTGTGGGGGGCGCGCGCATGGCCGGAGAGATGTGCGAGCACGTTTGGGCGAGGATCAACATTGTTGCGAATCGTACGAAGGAGATGGGGCGGGCGAACCGGGCCGACACAACGCATCGCGCTCTGGATCACTTGAACATGGACAAGATCGTCCGCATGCGTGAGCGGTCTACTTACCCTTGACGGATGACGCGTTGACCATGAACACATTGACCGATCCTAGCTGAAGCCCTGCGGGGCTATTACCTCGTCGGGGCAAAGCGGTACGAAGAGGACAGGAAATACTTGGAGGGTATGGAGGAGAGTCTAGAAACGTCCCTCCGAGGTCTAGTCGGCACCTGGAGCACCGAACTCCGGACGTGGTACGAGAACATCGCCGACGTCAACGTGAAGGACAAAAGGAACGTCGCCACAAACCCCTTTGTACTGGACGCCACGTTAGGTGAGTGGCGGCCTTGACCGGAATGCCCAAATCTGAACAACACGCAGATGTTGGCTTCGAGGGCATGACGGCACGTCTACGGGAAGGACAGGACCAGGAGCTGAAGGGCGTTGGGACGACAGAGGCAGGAGGGATCACCGAGGCGATCGATGCGATGATCCGCCTCGAGAATGAGAAGTGAGTACTTTCCGCCCGGCTCGCCCGCTCATCACTGATCTTGAAAAATGCGGTAGGCGAGACCTCCTCGCCGCGCTGCAGGTGTTCGATCATCAGAGCCCCACCCATTGGAAGCAACACAAGCAAGATTTCGAAAACTTCCTCGTACAGTCTACAGAAGCATGGGAGAGCTACAACCGTCACATCACGCCCATCTTCCAGGTCGTCGCTGAGCAGTTACGCGCTGCGAACGCGAGCCCCGAGAGTCAATACCCTTGGGCGGACGACCCCTTGGAAGCGGAGCCGGAGATCGATCCCAAGAGCGTCGGGAGTCTCACCGTGCAGCGTTGGATACCAGAGATCCAGCAAGTGCGCATTGTCTTCCCATCAAGCTATCACTCCAAGATCAGGTCCGATCCGGCCATGGCAGCGGCAGTGGCGGTAGAGAGATGAATGCGAGAGGGCCAGGCGCGCGATGCACTGGCTGAGTATCGAGTGATTCTCGCCGGAGGGGTGTCCTGGAAACTGATGAGCTTGCAGATGATTGGGCACAAGAACCGTCAGATGAACACGAACGCAAAGCAAACTACCGAAACCCGTCTATCTCAAGAGCGCCGGCTGTTCAATCGCTACCAGCAGCTGCTCGTCAGGCTTGGCATGAAGATCGACCAGCAGCAGCAGCGCGACCTCAAGCTCGACGACCGCCTCGTTACGACACTCGGGCAACGACGGGCGGGCGACACGCACAAGGCCGGGGACTGGCTGTGGGGCGACGCGAAGTGGATCTTCGATATGAAGGACAAAGAACAAAGGACCTTCGTGCTGGCTAGTGAGCACCACGTTATCCTTTTGAGTGGGATCGTCCGTTACTAACGAAACGTAAGAATACAAGATTCATTGGTTTTTATCGCGATGCCAGATGGAGAGATGGAAAGAGGAGATGTTTTTGCGCTCCGAGGAGATGTTCCGGATGGTGAGATGTTAGAATACGAGATGGCAAGTATGAACTTATCTCCAAGCGCGAGAAGGAGGAGGGGAGGAAGGGGGGTGCGGTGTTCTACAACCGGTGAGTTATCTTTGAAGTTATGACGTCACGGCTCATCTCGGGACGACAGGTGCAAATATGATCGCAAGCGCCTGCTAGACCGCACGAAGAAGACGTTTGAAGGCATCCCCTTCATGCAGGTGAGTGAAGTATGATGCCTCGTCATACGCCGATGTTGACTGGGGGCACAGACGATGGGCTTGGGCGCAGAAGCGAAGCATCCTGCGCCTGTTACCAAACCCTTGGTAGGGGAGCACTGTTCGCCGGCGTATCTTCTCTGACCTCACGCCGACAGAAGGGTAAGAAGGGGGGAAGGGCAAGCAACGGTGCGAAGTAAGTGGCACAAAGCGCTCCCTTGATGACGTCCTTGACATATCTGCGCAGTAGGGCACTTGAAAACACCAAGGAGAGCCGCGATGGCCACGTGAGAAGTATGAAGGGAAGGATGAGGGAATGGCGGGCGGGGGGATGTATGGCTAGATTATACATCGCGGAATGTTATGGTAGATCTCAGGATGGGACGACACGGGACCATATAGAGAGGCCCTACGAAATAGTGACCTCAGGGCCTTCCTTTCGAGGAGGAGGAGGAGGTCGGTACCATCAGCTCAACCATCAGTGCCTCGAAACCGCCGGAATAGCGCCGTGAGACGAGACCTGCGGGCTCAGAGCGTCTGCGTGCAGAGGTAAACGCCCATGCTTTCGCTCTGCCCGAAGGCCGACGCGGCGTCCTCACCTACTCCGCCATCTTCCATCCGCACTTCCAGGACGTGGCCAAAAGAATGACTTTCCAAATTAAACAACCTAAGGTACGTATCCACCCTGAACCGCTCCCGACAAAAGCTCACGAGGTGCGATTTCTGCGCGAAAATTGATGGCATAGGATGGAGAGAGCACCGATGGGCCGCTGGAACGCGACGCGACGCGTGGACCGGTCCCCATTTCGCCTCACAACAACGACCGGAGCAGCATTCGCGAGATGTTTGAAGCTTATGGGAACGAGATGGTTCACGGAGAAGTCCATGTGGCATCCGACTGGACTTCAGGTAAGCTTTTCTCGAGGGAGAAGGTGACTTATTACTGAATGGCAGAGTGAACGCAGACGCATGCCCCAAGGGCACCAGGGGTCTCTGTGTCGGGAAAGGGCGAACAAACGGCGAAGCGAGTGAAGAATTCTGGGCGAGCTTTACACGAAGCTACGCACTGGACGTTCAGAGGAAGGGTCAAAGTGAGTATGAATCAATGCTCCATGGTACAGCCGACTGACATACCCTGTTCCTACCACGTCATAGAGTCAAAGGAAGCTGCCCTCCATCAAGCTCAGAAGCGACTGCAAAATTGGGTCAAGTACGGAACTCCGTTTTCGAAACGGCGCTGCGATGACGACGAGGGCGACGTCGAAGACGGGCCCGACGTCGAAGCGCGAGCGTTGAAACGACGCCGCGAACATCACGAGCGCAGTCAAGGCGGCTCGGAATCCCATGTCGAGACGGACGGAGAGGAGAAGATGGAGTGCGATGACTAGGAGAGGGCGGTTGGGACGGTGGATAGTCTCAAATGCCACAGGTGAGCTACGTCTGATAGCTAGTCGGGGGTCGCTGACGCCTCTGACTGTGTCTATGCGCGTTCGATCACCCAGCTCAGGGGTTCCAAAGGGTGCGACGAAGGAGGGAAGGAAGTACGGACCGAGGATAGGACCAGCTCGGAGGGAGGTAGCACGAATTGCCATGTCACACATGTGAGAAGACGTCATGAGCGCGTCCAGCTAGTGAATCGACGTCGGTATCGAGTAATCAAGAGCCACCACCGAGGCTCAGCGTAAGTCTGCCACAGCGGGCGCCCGACCCGCCTGAAATCGAAAGCACCCCGGCGAGCGCTCGCGCACTCCATCTACCACGTTGTCCCCGGGTTCTTACCTCCACCTCGTTGCTCATTCCCACATAGTATCTCATGAACGATGAAGTACCTCCTTGTTTTCAGCTGAACTACAAAACGGGGAACTGACTCGTGGTCGAGTAGATCCCCCAAGTATCTGACCAAAGCCCAACGTCACACGCCGGATGGACCAGGGAGCCTTGCCAGCCGGAGCTGCGTCTTAGACTGGCGTGGTTGAGGGCGGCGCCCTCAGGAACCGATGGGCGGAGGATGTGGGGTTGGTACAATGTCGATTGGAGAGGCTGGAACGCGAGTTGGAGAGGATGGAAGACGAGTTGGAGAGGATGCGATCTGACAGGTCAGTGACCATGGGGGCTCACGCAGATCGAGTGTACTCGTGGGTTTCATGGACGTGGTCACTGACGCGTTTCCGGTAGGACCTGCGTGCATTCCGGCAGCTGAAGAATGGCGGACACTCGGGAGATGGGCACGCGTTCCGACAGCGGGGGAATGGAAGTGAGAGCACTCGGGGGGTGAGGGACCGGCACGCGTTCGGTATTAGACAATCGGATATCATTGGGCTTCCATTAGCACCTTGGTTCCCCTCTGTTCCTCAACAATGCATTTGTCGGAGTCCGCGCAAACGAGAAGGGGCGTAAAAAAGTGGTAAAATTTTCGGACGGGCGTCTGTTACTCGGGGCTCGACGGGCAAGCATGGCTCTGTCGTTCTAACACCTCCCTTCTCCCACTTCACTGGCAGCGGCCACCCACGGTAGCCTATCGATATGAACACGGAACGCGTCGCGTCGGATGTAAGTACCCACTTTCCAGGGCGCAGCCCCCGTAACACGTCGTGCGCGTATCTGAACTTCACTCTGGCCGTCAGGTGAAGAGGATTATCGATAGAAGCTACCGGGAACAACTTGCATACATCAGTGAGTTTGTCTACCATTGGGTTCATACAGACAAGTGACCTGAGATGGCAGCATGCGACGGGAACTTTCAAATGTGCCCTGGCCGGGGTAGGGCGAGGGACGCCCTGTATAGGCGCTGGGGTGTCTTTGTGATCGAGAATGAAGGTGCGGGTACCTATTCACGCATCCACCGCCCCTCCGTGACTGATAGGAGATCCCGTGCACGTAGACCTCAGGGCGGAAGACCGGGGTGGCGATCAAGACAGCGTCGCTGTTGGCGGCGGCGATGGGCCAGCAGATTCCCCTGCCGTGCAGGAAGGACCGAACTTGAACGACGTCCAGGAGAGCGCTGTATGCGATCTGGAACGACATGGCGGGGTGAGTCCTGTGCGCGAGGAGCGTGTTGCGGCGCGGGTAGAGGATAAAGCGCGGCATGTCGAGTAGGGAGGGTGGAGCCGCCTCAGTACAGGTTTTGCACAAATCGCTGTTAGAGCGCCCCACAACTATGCGTATGATACATCGCGCTAGTGCCCTGTCAATCCTGAAGACCAGATGGACGCGTATGGAATAAGAGATCTGTCCGTTTCCGAAGAGAGGGGGCCACAACATCTCGCGTACATACCGAGTGTGTGACAGTATCGTCAGGACTTCGGCCGTTGGTTCAAGAGACTGCGACGGACGAAGCTGTGAAGCGTCTCGCAAGGCGAGTATGCAAACTTGTATGTGTTCCACTGAATACCCCAGTTCCACTGACACATTTCAAATTAGAGCACTGTGCTACCACCCATCTCCTGCCTCCTCTGCCTATCTACGCTTCCCGCCCGACTACACTATGGGAATAGGACCCCGGGCCGGGCAACGCTGGAGTAAGACGCCGGTAGGTTGCCGGAATAAACGCCGAGCGCTCGGCCCGTAACTGAACGCCGCGACGGATCACGGAATCAGGAGTCAAGCGGTGCCCTGCGGACATCGCCGAAGACACCGAGGCCTGGCCAAACAGTAAGTAGCGTCGTCCTTGGGAGCGTCGTCCTTGGGAGATGTCGTCAACTCATATGAGCAAGGATTATTTTCAGGAATTAAAGAGCTTGGAAAACCGAAACGCCAGGAAGTACCACTCAAGCGGGCCTTGCGAACGAGGCCAAAGGCGATCGAGGTGAGGAACGACCAGAGACGCTACGCATCGCGAGACGCAACGCACCTTGTGAGCACGCGTGCGATATCACAAGCGCGAGAAGCTAATCGAACGTTCAGCGCCCCGCTCCACGCTCCCGCGTTTGCCACATCCTCGCCCTCCATCCACTGTCGTCTGTCGGCGGCCTCTCACTCTCGAACACATCAATCGTGGTCCGTTGCCGAGTGCTCGGTGAGTGTCTCGCTACGTCGTGCGACACTCTACGAGCGTCTCACCATTCGTCTGTCTTCGCCGCCTCTCCTCTGCCCTCCTCTCCTCTCCTCGCCGCTCCCTCTCTCACCTCTTCTTTCTGCCCCAACCAAAGCACTCCTCTATACAACCAGATTACCACCGCGTTGGTGACGCCGGTGGTGACGCCCTGCCGCCCGCGCACGTCTCACGCGTGTGCCAACACAGGTGAGCTTCTTCTTCCTTTTCGCGCTGGGTCCTCAACTCACCATCCCCCTGCCATCCACTCACCACGCCCACCGCGACTGTCGCTACGCTGCCCGCGCTCGTGCCCCCGGTCGTGACGCCCTACCGCCCGCGCACATCTGACGCGCGTGCCAACTCAGGTGAGTACACCGTTCTTGCTCCTCGCGCCGAGTCCTCAAGAGACCATCCCCCAATCCCTTCGACCTCGACGGCCGCCACCCACACCGCTGCAACACTCTCCTTCGTTCTCGCGACCAGGACGCACTCCCACCTACAACACACCCTCCACCACCCGCGCTCGTGCCCCGTTCTCGCGTGCGTCCCACCCGCGTGGCAGCTCAGGTGAGTTTTTCCATATTCTTCTTCGCGCTTGGTCCTCAACAGGCCTTACCCTTCCCCCTCCTCTGCCGCCGCAACCGCCGCACATCGCACACCCGGTCCTATTTCGCGATCGTGCGCCGCCGCTATCACGTCCGGCCGCGCCCGCGTCCCACCCGCGTGGCAACCCAGGTGAGTTTCTCGCCGCTCGTCTTCGCGCTCCGCATCACCCACGCTCTCTGACGCACCCTCCCCACGTCTCACCCGCTATCACGCACGCTCGTCCCGTCCTCTGCCACCACGCGCGCTCGCACCCCGTACCGTCGACCTACTCTCCCAGCCCCCCTCGCTGGCTCTTCTGTCTCACGGACTCGCCCACCATGCCGCCCATGAGTATGAGACATCGCAACGTGGGTGTTTATATCCTTCCACTTATGCGTTTTCTGACGATTTCAACCATCACGCGCAGACGTTGGACCAGATTATGCGGGGTACGCACAAGCCAACGGAGGTCTCAGTAGTTTGTGAGGTACGTACTTCGGCCTTATTGCCACGACGATGCGCTTACATGCGCTCTTTAGGCCATTGAGATAGGTCTTGGAGGTCGCATCAAGGTGAAGTCGAACAAGGGCGGGAGCCTGACCTTCCCCGATGGCAGGTGTAGGTTCCTACATCGGACGGACGTGGCGTGGGGCTGGCACCCGGTAAGTCAAATCCTATTACACGCGTGAGGGCAAGCTGACGGGGCGTTGCAGAAACATGGGACTGAGGGGAAAGGAAAGACGGGCAAGAAGCAGCCGGGTAACGGGAAGATGTTCAAAAAGGACCTAGTGGCCGCGTGAGTGCTTTTCCTGTTTTCTATGCGCCTGTTACTTACCATGCCGCACAGGTTGGGGCGCAAACTCGTCCGCGCCCTTGAGCTGGACGACGTCCAAGACGGGTTCAACGTCCGGAAGTGGAACCGAATCTGCGCTCGCGACTGGCAGCGCCCTTCGTAGAGGGTCGTAGATGGCGTAGTAATGATTTGTTTCGTAGAATACATCATACTATTCGTGCTCTTGCAACCACGCGCCGGCGGCCCGTGAAACGCCTCTCCGAGAAAACCGGGAAGTGATCGACCCGCACGTCATCCAGGCACTGTGGGGGTGGCTGTGGTCGAGGAACGCCTCCGCGCGCGGTCCTTGGGCCTTCCGTCTCATTCGGCCATCCCTGCCTACGCGTAACGCAGCGACCGTGAGGTGCGAACTCACCGTGTCCGGGTTCATTCTCACACCCATGAACGTCGACGCGCAGATCAGGCACCGACGCCCGGCTCTCCCTCGCCTCCTCTGAACTCGCAACGTCGCGTGGCTCCATTCTCAACAACTCACGTCAACTCGTGGTCCGTCGACCGCCCGACCACGCCACGCGCCTCTACCCGGCTCCCATCGATCTCGTCCCGCGCACGTCGTCCATCCCGACTGGCACCGCCGTTACCGCGTTGACCCCACCATCGATACAGCAACGTTCGCCTTCGTCCTAGGTCCCTCCCATCCCGTTCTCCTCGTGCACCGCGCGTTCCACCTATCGACTTCTCCTCGCGTCAGGTCTGACATTGACCGCTGTGGACTCTGCAGCTCGCGAAGGCGGCCCCGCGCCTGAGCTCGTTCACTCGCACCTGCATTTCCGCCGTCTGGTCGCAACAGGATCACTTGCACGTTCCCAGTCACCTCCATCACGTCTGTACTCGAAGCCGTCGAGCTCATGGACGTGGTTGCCCTGAAGGCAGAGGGGACATTGAGCGGCCGGGGAGGCGTGCGCGAGGCGAGTCCTGACGAGGGTTGGACGCAGGGCCATCAGCGTTGTGCTCAAGCGTGTCGTGGTGCGCTCTTCCGAGTATGTCGGACCGCCGATATCTCGATCAGGAAGGAAGTCATTAAGGTACAGCGGGGTAGCAGGGCTCGAGAAAGCGCTTAGGGATGCAGCGCGAGCTCGGGCGGAAGACGCCGTCGCGCGACGCGTGCCGAACACTCGCCGCACGGAGCGCATCCATGCGGTCATTTGATGGGGAGCACATGGACGTCTTGGGCGATAACATGTCCCTATCTAAGGCGGTGCCGGGTGGCGTTAGGCCGGGTCGATCATATCAGCCTGTGGCGCAGGCCGCCGGGCGGCACAGGGGGAGGGACTGGGAGGGCGAG